ACCATTATTCTATTTATCTACATTAATATCAATATGCTTTATATTCAGTGTACCTACTCAATGAAAAAAGATCAAATCCAGAATAAGTCCGCGCTCATAATTCAATACATCGTTATCGGCTATGATATACAAAACTATGTCAATGACTTTGATAGAGCATTCACTATACTATTATATGTATTATTCAGGGACAAACATTTAAAGGCTATTCAAGAGTTTATTAACCCAACAATCCTATAGGAAACTCAACAGAATTGTGCATATTGTATAAGGGGAAATAACAATTTCCATACAGTTTTAAACCATTCTCTAACGGGAACAAGGAACTGTTAGTAATGCGGTATGAAAGTATCCATTGCTAGCAAACCTATCACCTATCAGGTCGAACTCCAAGCGGTTTTCCTGGATAATTTCTATTGAATTCGTCACAATGATCTAATTGACCTGCTTTTATCCTCGCCTATTATCGCTTACTAATGCCCCACCAGCATATACTGATAGCGCAGGTGGGGATACCGTGACATTTAAAAAAAATATTACCAATCATCCATTAAAAAAATCACTTTCAAACGAAGCCAAAAGGACCTTTCATTTCCTGTGTAGAAACCCATCCTTTTTTGCAAATAAAATACAGCCATTTGCTGTTAATGTTAATGTAGCTTGTGTGTGTGTGTATATATATATATATATATATATATATATATATATATATATATATATATATATATATATATATATATATATATATATATAAAACTAGTAGGGATAATATTTATATTATTATATGTATTATCATATCATATACATCTCCCATATCTAGAACTAACAAAAAATTTTTCATCGTGTCTCCTACCGGATTGTTTAGGTTGGAAGAGATCTCTCTTAGCGATAAGATCGCCCATTCTTTTCTCATTGTGATTATTTCTTGTAATTGTTTGTATTTATAATAAGTTTACTATTGTAATCTTTTGGAGGAAACAATAAAGAGTATCTATCTATCTATCTTTCTATGAGTGAAAGAATATTTATAAGCGGCTTAGTATATTTTTAAATCTTCTGTTACGAAGAAAATATTTTTCTCTTTATAATATTAGTTTAGACAAACGTATAAACACAATCTAACACTCTTATTCATAAAAACTAACGCCTTCTGCAAACCCATTTTAACTACTACACACTTTTTTGTCACTTTATTTCAAATTAGGAATTTAGCATAAAAGAGAGACAGAATAGTTCAATAGCTAAAGTTTGTGAGAGATTTGACGTTTGTACGAATAAGGGGGGGGGGGGGGGGGGTACATTTGTAATATATGACAAACCTTAAATACAAATTCATAGGACAGGAATTCATTTTAAACCTAATAAGGTAAACCTTATCTGTACTGCTTTTATCTTGTGTTTACTACTGCTATCTGGTTATTACTAAGTTCGGCACTTGGATTTTAAACGTTTATTTTAAGCGTTAATGCTTATACAAGTTAGAACTATTACAGATTAGATAACACCTGAGTCCTCAGGAATGGCAACGCATGGAGGGTATTATGGACGAAACAGTATACTCTGTTATGTCCACGATACTGCTCAGGTGATCTATAGGTGACGGTTACCACTTTCCATCAGGTAAAAATAAACTAATATACCTTTTCGAAATATAATTTGTAACTATAAGCTACATCCTGTGGTTTTGCTTGCTTGAATAAATAATAATATACAGTACTTGTTTGCCACCTTAGTAGTATAAAAAAAATATTAAAAAAAAACCAGACCCTATATATTACAACCGTTCAAAAGTATGGCAAATGAGCCAATCATGATTATAATTAATCATATTACGAGTATAGGATGCTCAACGACCCACTCACCTTAGAACGTAGCTAAGGATCCCATGCACGCGAAATTCCCCGAATTGCTTTAATAATTAAAGCAGAACTTCCTCTCTCAAAATTTAACCAGGGGGCGTACCCACCTGGGGAGGCATAGAGAGATGTCAGGGGGGCATAATACGTATGCAATTTCAGAAGAAAAATTATTAACGTTTAAAAATTGAAAAATACTTAACGCGTAAATAAAACTGAAGCTAGAATCAACTATAAGGTATAAAGCATTAAACCTCAATATTCTCATTAGTTCTCTACAATATATATCAGTAAAATAACGTTTGAAATTAATTTTTTTACAACTCAGAATTAAAATATTTTTATGCACTTAGAATGCCAAACAAGTGACTTTCCCCATCTAATGAAGTGGTAACCGTCGCCTATAGATATAAGCAGTACCACGGACATAATAGAGTAAACCATGTCGCCCATACGTTGCCATTCCTGAAAACTAAAGTATTATGCGTCTGCCTATGTATCCTGTAATTTTAATTGCCACCCTTTAAGCCGAAACAAATGTTGTTAACAAATTTTTTTTTGTAATTACACAATTCGAGGGAATGGGTGCATAAAAATATTATCACCAAAGGTTGGGTAAACTAGACCAAACTAATAATAACACTAGACTACTTAGAAAATCGTCGACATGATAATTTTAAATTATAATAAATGAAGATATAAACAGTAGAGGCGACTGTAGTTTGACGAAGCTATTAACATACATCATGCGTACTTATCATTTATAACTTATTACTGCTTGTTTAGTCCGTGTTGAAGTTTCTATACATTATGCGTTATAGTCGTTTACCATGTATCTTTCTAACAAGTTTCCTTAATAACAATTCAACAAATACTTCTTCTTAGCTTTTAGCCGCGACATCGTTCGCGTAACCGGAATATGTTCACTAACTGAGACAAAAAATAGCCTAAAAATAACCTTTTCCATCCCATATTTTTTTATACCACTGGAATGGCAAACAAGTATACGACCCAACTGATGGTAAGCGGTTACCGTAGCTTATAAACGCGTGCAATGCCATGGATATTACGCGCGCATTGCCGACCCTGAAAAAACCTCTTTACCCCCTCCATCCCATATAGTAGTAGGTGTATACCAAATTTCATAGTGACGGGTTAAGCCATTAAGATGCTTATAGGAAACAAATACCCACTTTCACATTTATAATATTAGTAAGGATTTAGACAAAAAGATTTTGTTAAAAAAAACACCGACTTTAATCATGGTCGTAGTCAATCTATTTTGATGAAATTTTTATAGGACCAATGAGAGAGTATATCCTTTCAGATAAAAAACATAAGTTTCCAAATCTGTTTATAAATGTCGGGGTTCAGAGGTAGCAAACCTAAAATAAAAATACATCCGAATTGGGAATCTGCTCTTTTCTTGAAGTCGGTTAAAATATATGAGATTTCTTAAGTGGGGTATTGGGTTTTTACCCTTCCCGTATAAATAAAAATTATAGTTGTTTAAGAACACATCATTTATAATGCTAATTAAACCGCAGTTATAAATATTTATTGTCATTGCTTACAGACTTGACTATCAATACATTAGTAAAGTTATAATTCTGAGTCATTGATATAAAAAAATCCCCTAGATTCACACTTCCATATAAATTTCAACTTAAAAACTGACGCGAAAATAAATAAAAAAATACCTGAAGCTACGTTATTTAAGTTGGAATAGATTACTGTAAATAAGAAATTAACTGCCTATTGGGCATGGCAACCTAGGTATCTAAGAATGTAAAATACATTTAACCACAAACGTTACTGGAATGAGTGTTCAATTTAGTTAAATACTCTCAATACCAGTTTCTAGTCTCTGATTGCACATCTAAGATTTTATGTATACCGATGTTCTGGACGCATGTCTCGAATTCATAATGTGGAATGAGTTCAGTATGGTGACAGTGACGTGATTGATTAAATTGAATCACCAGCTGCAGTCAATTGCTGACACGAACCAATTATATTGACCTTCAGATTGATGGCAACTCAATACGTTACCTAAAAAAGATCGACCCAAATATATAAGTCTAGAATACATACATATGTACATATTTGTCACGCTAGCAGAATATCCTTTTTATTATGAGGATATTGTAAGAATATTTTTTTTATTGAATTCACTATAAGTGAATTAGTATCATGGGCGAAACAGTATACTCTGTTATGTCCATGGTACTGCTTATGTCTATAGGCGACGGTTACCACTTTCTATCAGATGGGCCGTCAGCTTGACTGCCATTCTAAGTTGTATAAAAAAAAATATCAACCCGGCTACCAAGTGGCAACTACTAGAAAAGCAAAGCTTTCCTTATGGGGTAGGTTTATGTACAGCAGTGGAACGGCTGAAATGATGACAATAGTACCTTATGATATGAAATAGTAATTTATGTGATGTGGGATTGTCCCACGTGGGTAGAAGAGAACTTCTACCTCGGAAGCAAAGACATGTCTGCGGTACATTAAACCACTCATGACCACATAACAAGCCAATATAACCTGGTCGGGGGGAAGGGATTGTTAATAATGGGGTCTAATGAACCCATTGCTAGTAATATACCCTATCAGGTCCATCAAACCATCGTGGTAAATTCTAGTGGAATTCGTCACGATGGGCTAACTGACCTGCTTTCATCCTCATCTATCATCACTCACTGGTGCCCCGTCAACGTATAGTAAACGTAAAATAAAACGTAACGTAAAATAACTATCTACTGCTGAACATAAGCCTTAAGGGGAGCTTTATAGGTTTTCCCCTATAGGGGGGCTTTTTTTTTTATATACAACTAGAATAGCAAACAAGCTGACGGCCCACCTGATGGAAAGTGGTAACCGTCGCCTATAGACATGAGCAGTACCATGGACATAACAGAGTTTGCCAGTAGTTGCTACGCTTGGCAGACGAGTTGGCAAGCGCCAACTGCGCCAAATTAGAATTATTGGTGATGTTTCAAGAGGGACGTTGTTGTCCATCCCTCGACCCATAAGTTCCCTTAGTCGCCTCTTACGACACTCACGGGAAAGAAGATGGGCCATTCTATGCCGGACTCACAAGACGATATTATATTACGACTATGGGAATTATATACTTACTTGACACCTGATTCACAGCTTCAGCAATATGGCAACGGAACACGTGACAGCGGTACACCGCCGACTCCTTGGTCTCTCCATGGGACCAAGTGAACGCGAAGCAGGAGGCAACCGGCGAGCCGGCCGCACCACGAGCGTAGAACGATATCCGGTTGACGGCGTAACGCGTCATCACGCTGTTGGAGTCGGCCTGGTATAATCTGCAAGAAATTATGATATTAGAAAACTTACTAATAAAAATACTATAGATAAAAATATCATCATCATATCGGCCATTAACTGTCCACTGCAGAACATAGACATTGCCCATAAAAGGGGTTTTTCCAGTAGTTGCTAAGCTTGGCAGGCGAATTGGCAACCGCATTTAGGCTTTGGTGATGTTTTAAGTGGGAGACTGCTGTCTAATTCTCGACCATTAAGTTCCTTTAGTCACAGGAAAGGAAGTAGTGGTTCATTCTATGCCAGAACCATACGGGTTGACTAGAAGATATCCCTTTAACGGATAAATCCGTCTGTGTACATGTTTGTTATAACCTAATATTTGTATTAGGCATAAACTAATAGTCAAAAACATTTTCGATTGTTACTAATAAGCTCCACTCCATCTTATAATGGTACTCCACTTGTTTACATGTCATCATCGAAAATGTACACATTTCAACGACTATAATCCATTCGGATTAATACGTTATGAAGATACGTTACAAATCGTTATAATAAATCTTCTGAATATCATATATTTTTTTCATTATCTTCAATATTCAATCTCTACTCGTATTATGAACTAGATAATCGTGATAAGACAATAAATACTATGTCGTGTGATAAATTCAAAAAATTATAACTCTCAGTCACTTCAAGTGCGTTTGTACCGCAAGTATGATAATGTTTGTCAATGACTTTGAGACGTTATTCGCTAGGGCATTTGTGCCGTTCTGGCCTGAATCTAGATAGTATTGTTAATCGATGTTTACGCCTTATATCAATTTATAGAAAAATCCAAATTCAATAAATTAAATTAAATATAACAACATAAAGTTAAATTTGTCGCCTGGTTCCGGCATAGAATGGGCCACCCTTCTTTTCTCGGGGATGTCGTAAGGGGCGACTAAGGGAGCTTGTGGTCACGGGATGGACAGCAGCGTCCCTCTTAAAACATCGCGAAAAATCTAACTGCGTTTGCCAACTCATCTGCCAAGCATAGCGACTACTGATAAAATATATATCTTTATTAAGCTAATCTTTAAATAGTATAAAATAAAATGCGCTCGTCTGACTGTTTTTCTACTTAATTCTTCTAAACCACGCAATGGATTTTGATAAAGGTATCATTGTTATTACATATTTTTTACAGAAAGTTTGTATAAACTAGTTCATAACAAATATTCGTGCGATGATGAGAAGATCACTAGTTAAAACACAACAAAAGTTAAATACAATAAAGGTTTTTACAATGCGAATAAATTGTATTATAGAATATAAAACAATACAATTACTATGTTACATTATTTAGATAACTATTCAATGGATGAGTCATGAATGAAAACCACACAAATGATCTAGACTAAATATTACACTAATTTAAAAGTAAAAGAAATATTCCGCCTGAAATAAAATCCGAGGTTTTCCCTGTCCCTATAGAATGTAACAGGCGAATAGGGGAACAAAGTGGTCAAATAAAATTAAAAATATTAATTAATCACAACAATTAAAATCATTCATGATCATATACCTATAAGTCTACTCTTGAATTTAATACCGACATCAATCCAATCTAATGCTAATGATAATTTTGTACTGCACTCATAAAATAACAATTAGAAAGTACGTTAGAATTGGGATTGGTTTGCAATAGTTTGCATTAGCAAGTTATACCATCTTTTTTTTTAAACAACTTACAATGGCAAACAAGCTGACGGCCCACCTGATGAAAAGTGGTAACCGTCGCCTATAGACATGAGCAGTACCGTGGACATAACAGAGTATACTGTTTCGCCCATGATACCCCCCCATGCGTTGCCATTCCTGAGGACTCAGGTGTTATTCCTCTGTACCCTGTAAATTCTATTATAACAACATGGAAACATGTCGCTAATATTGCAATCCGAGTATACAATTGGAATTTGTTTCCAGAGTAACCCTACTGATCAGCACGTTACATTTAATACTATTTAGTCTTGACACAGTTGTGTTTCTAAATGTCTATCTTAAAACCTGGGGTCTCATTAAAATTCCTCATATTATTTTTTCATAAATATCTCCCTTGTATAGACCTCCTCTAATTAAATTTGTATTATATTAGTAAGATGTGACAGTGAATTTGTCTATTTGTTTATTATTTCTTGGCGCTTCAACGGATTAAACAGTCACTGTGACATTTGGTATGCATATACTATATGACATTGAGAAGGACATAAACCAATTTTTATCCCGGTCATTAAACATATCGCGTTTACGCGGACAAAGTCGCAGATAAAAGCTAGTGGTTAATTTTAAACTTTCGGGTTGTTGACTTAAATTTTAAATACATTATCGGGACTTTATGCGACACAATTGCAGGTAAATAGTACCTAAATACTTTCTTGATATTTTAGTCATTCACACAGTTCGATCGTGACCACGACTTAGTGCAATCTATGTCGAAACGTCGGCTATAAAACTCCGATGTACGTACTATTTATGTGCAATCGCGTCGCGTTAAGTCTCGATAGTGTATTAAAAATAAAAACTAGTGATTTTATAAATCTAATATGAACTCACACAACCAGTCCCTGTGAGCACACAGGTATAGATATAGAAACAGCGATGCCGTCTCTGCTCTCCGGCATGGAACTTAATTCCTTCATGATGCGCTGGATATCACTCTCCGACTTCGGGTCCGCTATATTCTGTGCCCCGAGGTAACTGACCCCGCTGAACACAGTGCATTCCTGGTCTACATCTGACACTGAAAACAAGGAAAAATAAATAATTAAAAATATATTTTTTTTTATAATAAATAGCTCCACAGTCACAGCAATCACCTGGGTCTCAAGCTACTATACCCTGTGTTAACAAGAATCAAGAAATGAACATCCAGGGACACAATTTTGAGCAATGAACTATTAATGGCTGATATACTGAAGTAAGTTTCTTTGTTTGTTACTTTATAGCGCCGTAACAGCTTAACAAAATACTATGAAATTTCGTGTAGACGTTCTATATGGGATGTATAAGGATATAGGCTCCTTTTTATCTCGGTTAGTAAAGTCCATTTTGTATAAATTCTATAGTTTAATTTAATCAGCTTAGTAACAGCATGACATGTATCATCGCACATATGTATAGATTGTAAGTGTACAAATCTAGCATATTACTGTTGTCTAACTATTTACTGTATACCTAGTACTATAGTTTTTATCATTTTTCATCCTTATAGTTATATATAATATGAATAATAATAATGTTGTGGCGGCCTCTAATTAAGGTAGCATTTTATAATGTAACCATATTATCATGTATTTTAAGTTAATATAAATGTATGCTTTGTTGGTTGCTCTTAAATAAATAAATAAACATATCTCGGCTAATAATAATCACAGTAAATAAGATACTATGACTAGTGTTTGTATGAAAGTTTATGCAAATGTTATCGAGGCGTTAATTTTGCTTAATTTTCAAATTAAATTATTTATCGGTCTATCTAATATGTATCAATTTATTTCCTGCAATATCATTCCGTATTGATAAATCAAAAAAAGGGGGGAGAAGGGATTGTTGTTATAAGAATTATGAGCTCCATTGCTAACAATATACCCTGTCAGGTTGACCTCCTCGTGGTTCCTCCTGGAAACCATCGTGATTGATTTATTGTTAGATTCGTCACTAACTGACCTGCTTCACCCCACTGGTGCCCCGCCAGTGTATAACGATAGCGCAGGCTGGGTTACCATTCCGTTATCATCCATTAAAAAAAAAAAAAACAAAAAAAGACCGAACATCGCGATTTTTACAAATCTTAATTTTTTTTTATTTTTATTTTTAATTGTTACCTATTTAAAATCGCGTAAGTGAGCACGCCGGATCATAGGTACCTATATCAACTTTGTTGTTCTCATGTAATAAATGTATGTTATGAGACACACAACATGTTTATGCCTAATTACAAGGAAAATATTAATAGTTCAGGTTTGTAGCAACTCCCATAAATTAATTTATTACTAACGCAGAGAAATTCGGAAAAAAACTGAATTCAGTATTTTTTAGAGTTCAATAATAAAAACAAAAGGGAATCCGTTAGTTTGTCTATGACAGAAACTTGAAGACAGAATTTTTTTTTTTGTTATGTTGTTAAAATTTAGCATTAAATAAGGAACATCAAAATAAGGCTGGAAAACTAATATACAATCATTTTTTTTTATGCAAGTGGAAACGAATAAGGCGGCAGCATAACCTGATGAAGAGTGATAACCGTCGTTTATAGAACGTCAATACTGTAATTTTTTTTTTGTAACCTCATGTAAATATTAATAAAGAACTTATTAATATTTACCTTCATCGTCGCTTTCAATAGGCTTCATATGGTCATGTTTCTCTGTGGGCGAAGGTGTGGAGGCGTTAGCCGACGATCCTTCCATCACCTCATAGAACTTCGACCCGCCAACGAGTCGGCACGAATCCTGTGGACGTGAAAAAAAAATTATAATATTACTATTATTGTAATTTAATCACTTGACTTTTGAAGAGGACAGAAAGGAACGTGGACAAAGCGTGAGCGATATGAGAAAGATGATACGGTAACATATATATAATCAATCTCACTTTCTCTGCATAATTCTTTAGAATAATCAGACGAGTTTCATCACAGACATAGACAGATACTGTTTATTATTTCCTCCAAAAGATTACATTAGTAAGAGATATCGATTTTTCGGGCGAATGACAGCTCACACTAATTTCTTATTAGCACCAAGCAAGAATATAGAGCAGGTAAATTGGGAAAATAATTTTCTAAATGTCAGACCGAAACCATTCTCATTGAAATGTCGCGGGTGCGAAAATGTCAATATAATTCGAAGACCTATACGGATACTAACACTAAATCATGGGGTAATTAGTGTTCGACACACGGAATGTAATAATATAGTTTCCAAGAATAGCAACGAAAATAAAAGTAAATTGTTATATTTATAAGTATAAATAATATTCTCCCCTGTGCTCCCAGCATAGAATAGGACACCCCATCCTTAACCGTGTGTGTGGTAAGAGGTGAATAAGGAAACTTAATAGTCAAGGCATGGGCATCTACGTTTTAAAACATCACCAAAACCTAAACTGCGGTTGCCAATCCGCCTGCCAAGCGTGACAACTACTGGTAAAACCTCCCTTTTGGCGAGACCTATGTCCAGCAGTGGACAGTAAATGCTTGAATAAATATTATAGATGTGAAAGTGAGTTAGTTAGTTCTTAGTTACTTCGTTACGTCTTAAGGGCTTAATCAATCATTATGAAAATTAACAATAATAATGGTTTATTTCTCTTACAAAAACTTATATACTGAATAAGTTACAGTTAATTTTTTTTTTGTGAAAGCTTTGATTGTGAAAGCTGGAGCCGAACTTGACTATGAAGCTCTCGAGTATCAGATCCCATTTTTCGGCGTATGGACTGCGTATGGTGTCTAAACTAATAAGTAATTATATAATTACTATTGTTAATTAATAGATAAATTGTGCAAGAGAAGCCAAGGTAATTTATAAAGTACTAAATGTGAGTTTAGAAATATAGGATTTAAAAATATACTGGATTTCTGTACATATGCATATATCAAGATACTAAATAAAAAGTGAAATAATTTTTAATTGATACCTATAAATTACTATAAAAAAATGTATGTGTGTATTGTAGTTACACAATTGGTTAACTACTCTTTACTCCGGTCAGTGAATACATCCAAATTCCGGATAAAAGCTAGTACAAAATATTATAACCTACTACCTAAATTTCGTCATCGGCAAATATACAGCACAACGAAATAAGAGTTCCCTAATGGATGTTGAGGTACCTATTTTCGACTTGTTTTACTCCTAACTTACGTCATAATAGGGTAATCAATAGTTAGTGTTGAGCGTGGACTTAATAGACCAAGTATACTATCAAGTTTTTAAAAGAAAAATAACAAAAAATGTGCAATTTTTTTTTTATAAATATATTTCAATATAATCGCCATGTCGTCCCAGAATAGAATAGATCAACCTTTCCTTTCCTGTAAATGTGGTAAGTGACGATTAAGGAAGTTTAATGGACGAAGGATGTGCAGCAGCGTCCCTATTTAAACGTCAGTAAGGCCTAACTGCGTTTGCTAACCCCAGGCGAGTTAGTAACCGCAGCAACCAAGCGTGACAATTACTGGCAAAATCCCCCTTATAGGGGTGTTCAGTGGCGGGCAGTTAACAGTTAATTTAATAATAAAAAATATTTTCAACAAAATCAAATACCTTAAACAGTATTCCTCGTGTCATTCTGATGGTCATAATATTTCCTCAATATAACACTATAAAATTGGTATTTTTATTGGTTTATATGGAATTACTGCTATTTGGTAACCACTAAAATATCCGTCACACATAAAAAAAATCAAAAGTTAATTAACGTTAAATAAATAAAAAAATACACCAATAAAGACTTGCTTTATTTGGCGTCCATAAGGACACTGATTGCAAAAATTATACAGCGGTCATACTCCTATCCCATGAGTCATTATATATTGTACAGCGCATTCATTTTAATATTACCTATAAGTATATATTATAATGATAATAAATACAATTGTGTCATATTGTGATAATAACAAAAATAATTTAATTAATCAATGAACAAGCGTGAGAAAAATATGGTTATATCTACCAACAAATACGAGTAGTATAGATAACCTACATACGTATATAGCATGGAGACAACGTTCAGCAGTGGACGGTTAATGGCTGATATGGTGATGGAGACAATGATAAGATCAAGATATCCATAAGATTCCGATAAGATTGTCTGATAAGAAGATATTATGTGCTATGTTAACTATAGGTAAGCAAAGAGCTTTGTCGTTAAATGTACAGAGTTCGTTTCCTATTCGAGCCAAACAATTCTAAAATGATCGTTGACGTATCTGGTATTGGAAGCTGTGTCCCAAAAAATTCCTACCCACCTTCTCTTATATGATGATTAAAATAAAATAAACCGGTTTTAAATTTATTTAAAAAAATAACAACAATGTGGTAACAAAACAGCAATATAATAGGAATACCATATATCCATTTGATTTACAAAAGCAGTTATGGGAACAAATTAATAAACGAGCAAGAAAATGGAAATAAAAAACAGGCCGCCTGGCAAGCGTGTTAGAACTAGGCTAATATCCTTTAATTACAACAAGAAACCAGTGGTCAGCATTAAGTGTGATAACGATGATGACCAGATTGTAATTAATATTTCACTGCTGAGTTAATTTAAAACATATTTTTTATTTAAAAATTACAGTAATGAAGAAAATAATTATGATTTGGCTTAAAAGGGTGTTATAATTTATAGGGTTTCGTATCAATATGGTACCTACAAAGGAACCCTTTTGGTGCTACTTTGTCCGTCCGTCTGTCCGTCTGCGACAGCGTTATATTTCAGTAAGTAATAATGCTATCGATTTGAAATTTAGAATACTTTTACATTTATTTTATTGTATTATATTCAATGTTTGTTATATGTGTTATAATGCAATATGCTGTTGATGTTCCTTTAATAAATAAATAAATATTTGGCCCGCACATATTACAAAGGATATAATTAAAAATATATTTTTATTTTCTTTGCAAGGGGGTAGATACTCAAAATTGATAGATTGGTATGACAAGTTTTCTTACAGGTACCTTAGTATACACTTTAGTCATTTTCCTAAATCACAAACTTGAGTATCAAACACTAAATGGTCATGATTCATTTCACAAAAACACTGATGCTATTAACTTTATCGTTTAATAAACTTTTATAATTACACTCTTCACTATACATTTTACACGATATGTAAGTTTAAAATTTATAATATATTATAAATACATATTATTTGCAAGAAACTGTGTATCATTTCTTACAAGTGACAGAGTACCGCGCGGAGTGACCACTCGGGCGGGGAGTGCGGTAATCAACCTAATAGGCACACAATGGATCGAATCAAAACAACCGACAATTATCGACTACAATCGAATGTGAAAATATATATCTTTATTCAGGTATACAAAGGGCGATAAAGACATTAGATAAATCTATAACAATAAATTAATCCGTGCTAATTACATACACAATAACATTCTGAAAATTGTTTAAATATTAAACCAAATTTTAAATTTTATTATATATATATATATATATATATATATATATATATATATATATATATATATATATATATATATGTAACAAAGTCGATTGCTTGAGTACCTCTGTCCCATTCCGATTTCTACCGTGAAACAATTGTGTTTGCATGGTTGTGTTTCAGTTTGAAAGGTGTGATATGGCGTAAATTTACAGAATACAAAGAAATAACATCTGAGACCTTAGGAATGGCAACGCATGGGGGGTATCATGGTCGAAACAGTATACTCTGTTATGTCCATGCTACTGCTCATGTCTATAGGCGACGGTTACCACTTTCCATCAGGTGTAAATTAGGATATAAACTACCTGTGTTCTAAGTTTCATTCAATCCGAGATAGAAACTGTAAAAAAACGTAGTGTCGTCTGCATGGATACATCTGTCCCACTCAGATTCCTACCGTCAAACAACTGTACTGAGTTTCAGTTTAAATGGTTTGTGAAGTTTGTCTGCCGTAGTTATTAGGGTCGCATACCATTTCATCATCATCATATTGTATTTTATATCCACTGTGCTATTCATATCTATAGCCGATCGTTACCACCTTTCATCAAAGGAGGTTTCAGTTTGTATGCCATTCGAAATAGGATAAAAAATAGTTTTTTTATGCAAGTTAGAATGGCAAACAAGCTGACGGCCCACCTGATGGAAAATGGTAATCGTCGCCTTTAGACATGAACAGTACCATGAACATAATAGAGTATACTGTTTTGCCCATGATGTATGCGTTTCCGTTTGAACCACATTTACTTTCATCAATAAATTTATTTAAAATCAATAAATAAATATAGATATATGAAATACACATACATGTTTCTTAACAATTGAACCAGTGTTGAACTTTGTAGATAATGAAATGGAATCCACGTTAGAAATTGTGTTTTAATAGGCACTAATTAACGAATAGTGCGTTAAATAACGAATGGTTATTTAATTTTAGAGCAGTATTTTTTATGACGAAACCAAATGTAAATAGTAATAAAACTATGGGTATACTTGGAAATATACGAGTACGTCGTTAGTTTTTTAGATTGAAGTTATAATTAGTTATTTTTTACAGCTGTGCTATTACAGTGTCGAGTTATTTAAGATTAATACCTAAACTGAAATGTTTACTTGAAAATATAGGTATTTAGGTCAAATCAAAAGTGTAATAAATACAAGTAAATTATGATAGATTTGGCTCCACAACAGGCACTCTCCATAGATGCTTTGTAAAGAAAAATGAGAGTTACAATCGTGACTATTTTGAGCCAATACAAGAGTAATTTCTGTTATTGCAAAAATGATTATCAAAAGCGGTTTAAAATTGGCGATATATTCGAGTTACATAGTCACAAAATACAAATAAAATGAAAAACAAGATGATCATTTTGTATATTCCGCGAATGTATTTTTATTTATTTTTAAATAAAAATCTGCATTTCAATCAATGTTGGCATTTTTTTTCCATATTAGACAATTTGAATATTATTTTTAATTTTACATAAACTGTCAAAACAATGTTTCATACAAAACTAATAAAGAGGTTGTATTACTTAATAATTACTCTTAACAACAAGACAATTGTTACAATCAATTCATCTGTGTAGTAAGGGATGTACTTTTTGTGCTTTTTCTGATACATAGATATGGCAAACTGACGGATCACCCGATTGTAAATGAAAAGCGTCATATGGAGATTTGATATTTAATACAAATCATATTAAAATAAATAATTATGTATGTTATTTATTACTTATAATTCCCGAGACACCGCCGTGTAGTGCCAGCATAGAATGGGCCATCCCTTCCTTTCTCGTGGGTGTCATAAGAGGCAACTAGCTAAGGGAACTTAATGGACGAGGGATGGGCAACAGCATCCCACTTAAAACACAAAAGTTTAAACCGCCTGCCAAGCGTGGCAACTACTGGCAAAACCCTCTAATAGATGGAGGCCCATGTTCAGCAATGAGATGATAATGATAATTCCTCAGATGAAGTATTATGCCTCCGTACCATGAAATTTCATTGGCCGTGCACCCTTCAAACCGAAACAGCCATGCACGCACAACTGAGTAGCAACAGAGACATGAATAGATAGAACGTGTTACAATAATACATCGCTCATAATTGGGTACAGCGTCCAATGATAACAAAGTTGATCCTTGTCTGGTACTAAACCAATTTACCGCTGGGAATTGGTGCCCCACTTTCGAGGTTTACGGTCAAATAAATCGTAATGGCAGTCATTATGTATGTTACTGCTTTATTGACGCTGGAAAGACTTGCCCCCTTATAAAAAATAAAACCTTCAACAAAACACTGTTTTGTCACTTTCTTTTAAAGTAGGAATTTTGCACAAAAATAAGAGACAAAAGTTCACTAACTAAAATAGGTATGAGAATTTGACGTTTCTATGAATAAGCAAGAAAAAGTGTTAAGCGCTATTTAGTAAATTTAACAATAGAACAAACAGGTAAATTTTGTTACACAAAGATACATTCAAACGTAGCAAAACCAGTTATACTGGTTTAAAAACTACTAAATCGAATTTGATAAAATTTGCATTGGATCTATCTGTACGGATATACTTACCTCAGATAAAAAAAAAAGAATTCTCCTTAAGGAGGTTTTCAATTCGAGTGTTTTTTTTTTTTATTACAATAACTCTTTTTTTATCTGAAAGGATATACTTATAGAGTGATCTCATAGAAATTTTATCAAAATCGGTACAGTAGTTTAGTTTTTAGATCAAAATAATTGGTTTTGTCATAATTGAAAAGTTTTTTTTTTTTGTGGGACACAGTCTTTAATTATTTAAATAAGTGAATAATATAACATCTTTGTATTTTTTTTCATGTAAAATAAAAAAAAATCAATAAAAAATAGATAACCAAAAATTGTAAAATCTAAAAGCAAAGAAATTTCTGTATTTAACGGTTTCGTGACTTAGTTAAATCGCCATCAACTTGCTTTAATTAATTTCACAATATACCTTTACCTTTTAACACTGAAAAAAAAAAAAAACTTAATTCAATGATATATATAACCCAATATCGGCCAAAGCGGAATTTAATACATTTTTCCTTCGTTTTGATATATCGAGAGTTTATTGCCTACAAACAGGTTGTAAATTGATTTTGGTCGATTCATATTTACAATTTTCCAATGTTGTTAATTGGTACAACGTAATTACATTCATCGTAACTAACTGGCGTGAAAACATTGTAGGTATATTGATGGCAGTCTACTGGAAAATGACACGTTTCGACCGACACCAAATATATAGGTAGTGTTTTTACAAAATTTCAAAAGCAACAATTCATAAATCAAATAATATGTACATGCAGCTAAAAGCGATATGTGCTATATTATTAGACGCATGCAATCCCTATTATAGTTTATGCACTTACATACATTATTAGAACCAAGGTGAAAAAAACATATAAATTATATATATCAGAAAAAAAAATTATCACAGTACTGACGTGATTTTTTTTATAACACAAAGACTATATATTTTTCAAACGACTTAAAAAAGAAAGAGACCTTTAATTTGGTTGTATTTGTTTTATGTTTGTTACCTCATAACTCTGTCAGATCTAAACCGATTTGAAAAAATATTTTTTTATCTGAAAAGATATCTTTAGAGAATTGTCCCATACAAATATTAACAGTATCGATTCAGTAGTTTAGTTTTTAGAACAAAATAACTGATTTTGTCACAATTGAATTAGATTTTATGTGAGACACAATCTTTAACTATTATACTATCTTCTTAAAATGGTAAATAAATTGTAAAGTTTTGAAATGAAAAATGGAAATTGTTTGCCAGATAGAATCAATGGATTCGGACATAAAAAAATACTGTAAAACCCATAGCAGGTACTACGATCTTTGGCCATATTGTGTATGGCAGCGGACCACTGGACGACCCGCATTTAGTGAGGTAGCCCGTCGTAAATAAATGGTCGGTCGGCCCGCTTTTGCTTTGTTTCTGCTTTAGCATAAGGCGGCCTAGTAACCAGATAATGATACGCATGACTGAAGTCCTCATCACCCTCAAAACAAGACCGTTAGAATTTACTCATATAGTTACTAATACAAATATAATTAGTAGTTTTGACTAAAAAGTAGCCTTCTCCAACTACTACAAGTATACAAAATTTCATAAAAATTGGTTAAAACCTTTAAGACGAAGAAGAGACTGTAAAAAAAGCACTTTTATATTCATAATAGTTATAGTCTACCCTTCATATTCATAAAAACGTAAACCTCTCATAAACTTATTTTACATATTGAATTGTTTTGTCTATTTCTTTTCCGGTAAATTCTTAATTTGAAAGGAAGTGGCAAAACATTTTTTTGCAGAAGGTTTTAGTTTCTATGAACAAGGAGGTACTTCAGTAGATATTAATGAAAAGGTAAGGTAAGTTTTGTTTAAATTATTACAGAAATATTCGAAATAACAGTAACAAATTAAAAATCGATTTCCTGATATTCAATCAATCTATTTTTAATTAGTTACTATAAATTTGTTAGTGGGTACAAATACAAATGATCAATTGAATGATATTCATTCAATTAATCGATTTTTATTTGTTCTACTATCGGACATACGCAAGCTATCTTAAGGTCGGGTCAATTGTATATTTATTTACATTTTCATTAAGTTCTATTGATAAAGACTAGAGTAAAGATGTAATGTTTACTGACCTGCTCCTTTACTGTGTTCTGTTGGACAGCAGCATCATCAACATCACCCATTTTTGATTCGGAATCACTCTCAACTTCAAATATAACTTTATAAAGATCCAAGCCTTCTGGCACGTTGGCTTCTATATTGGCCTCTGGTCGTATTGTCAGCTCTTGGTTTATCAACTGACTGCGGCTTATTCGTAATGAACCTTGAAGAGATTCTGATATAGCCTATAAAATTAAATTAGAATTATTCACCTAGAACATGTATGATACAAAAGTCATCATTAATTACTGTAACTTGGCTTTAGATTATAAATCTCAGATGGAGTGTCTTCATACATTTTTTTTTCATCTATATGTAAATGGGGATACTAGAATAAATAGTTATAACTACTCAGTATGTGGGACAAATGTGTATTATAAGGTTAAGATGAAAAATGAATTGAAAGTGAATTTTGCGTCTCAATTTTGACACTCAATGAAATCCATCTTGAGGTGTATAATCTAGACATCCATCCTTAACATTCGGGTGCATTCAAAGCACTTTGTCAAATTTTGCCCGAATGTTAAGACATATTAAAAATAAGAAATAAATAAACATGCCAACATTTTAGTAATCTATATATAGTGCTACTATTTCTAAAATTTGATAATACATTTAACAGTGGAGGTGATATTAGCAAAGGAATGTATAATATTAATAATAATTCTGGACATACCATTTAATCTTGAACCAAGCGAAACTTGTGTTATGAATATTAAACAAGTAATACACAATCTTATATAACTCTCTTTTTTTTGTAAGTACAAGAGATTCATATGAAATATCTAATAAATATATAATAAACATGTAATATTAATTAAAGGAAAGAATCTTCACAACTAGCCTGCAAAATAGGAATTTGCTGGCCTCAGAAACAGCATTGCATGAGGGGTTCCATGTGTGTCACAGTGTATGCTGCAATATTTATGATACTGTTCTTTTCTAAAGGTTACCTATTGACATCAGGCGAGATGTCATTCTTTCACCATTTCAGTTCCATAAAAAAAAATATATGAATCACAAATAAATATAAATATTATAGTATATATTTGACAATTATATAATAAATCATTATATTCATAAAAACTGATACCTACAAGCCCATTTTATTAGCCATTTTCTTTCAGATTAAGAATTTGGCATAAAAATAGGAAACACTTCAATAGATTCTAAAATAAAATTATAAATATACTAAATATCCCCTAAAGGGGAAAATAGTTCGCATATTTCCCTTTCTGTTCAATTCTAAAACTAAATTTGAATTGTTATTACTAAACCTTTCTATATACTATTGTAGTATAGCTCTGTATGTAGTCTTCATAAGAGTAACAATAATTGATTGATTAAAAATTGCTAACAACATATCCAGTGACATAACAATAAGGAGGCAGAGCAGGTAAAATACCACAGGTCCATGGCCTGAGGTGGCCCTGGCCCAAAATAAAACTACAACATTGAAGGTCTTTACATAAATGGAGGGCCACATTAAATTAATTTCCAATGGTCCTTAGATAGTATAGTTATGCCACTGAATGTACCCTATATTGCTAGTGATTTTCAATGTAAATCAATACAAATTTGATTTTCAATATAATCAATGCTCTATATTGTCCCCCTGAATTGTAGTTAATTTATCACAGTGGACCAATTAACATCATGCTCACCTACCGTCATTCACTGGTATCCCACCAATATATAACAAGAGAGTAGAGAATGTATTTTTAGGAGTGGGAACTAGTTTCACTAATGCTAGCAATATGCCCTGTAAACTTTCCATCTTTGGAAACCATCATGATTAATTCTTGATGAATTCATCACAATGAACTAACAAACCTGCTTTCATCCTCACATAATCATCTCTCACTGGTGCCCCACTAACATATACTGATGGTGTACATGAGGTCATCATTCCATTATAACTCATTAAGAGAAAGCATATAGTGAGAACCTCAGGAAGCACCATTCTATTTTCATATTTTAAAACAGCTTCTTATATACTGTTTTGGCTTGTTTTAAAATCACAATACCAAACTAAACATAACCTTTGCATATATACCATACATATCTGCTTTCAGCTTATCCAATGATACTTTATAATGTGACCACAATACACTTTCTAAAGAGGATGTTACAGCAAATATAAATAACACATGTGTGACATGACTTCTAAGTATGTAATTAAAAAAAAAACTTTTTCTTTAAAACTATATTATCTATCATTATTATTCTTAAAGAAATGTAAAAGAGAAGAAGAAATGATTTTATGTATTTTATAACACATTCAAATCAGAGACCACCAAAATATGACTAGGCTGTATTGTGCCTGACCCATATGGAAAAAGATGGGATAAATATGGAAAAAAAGGTGATGTTGCATTTAAATTTTAGTATTAATGAAGAGCTATCCTAAAGACTAATTACTTTATTTAAATGTACAAATATAACAGACTAGAATTTTTTTAAAATAAACCTTGACTTTATTATATTAAAATGCTTAAAAATACATTGCATAGCTAAATACAGCTAATCTTCTTAATCTTATTATTAGGTTGTAATAAAAGTAGTAGTAAAAATAATTATTTAAATGCTAATGAATAAATAATATCTGTAAAAAAAAGATCAATATAACATATTGCATTTATGTTAATAACAGCTGCTTATAAATAGGAAAGCATTTAAGTGTTTAGAAAGAGTTAGCATCCTTTTATTAAAGTATATCTTCGTTCTAACCGAAAATCGAATGAAAACATTAACGTACAAGTTAAATACTTACGTCGCTCAAAATGTCCTCCAAGTCGCAAATTGTTGTGGTTGATAGAACAGGTGTAGGACTAACAGATATTTCTGCATAAAAATTAACGTCTACCGGGCCTAATACCTCATTTGTGTGAATATCATTAAACTCCATTACGGATTTCTGTTGAAAAACAGCACAATAATTTCTTTAACAAACACTACAGCGATCGCGACAATCTATTACTTGTAACTTTTTATTTCGTAAAAAATATAACACGAAACGATGCTGATCTTACCCATCCAAGATTAGGTTCTCTTACGAGAACAGACCATTTTATCGAACAAAAGCAAGTTGTAAATTGTTTAATTTGTTGAAAAAAAACCCAACAAAAAATTATACACCGACGGAAGCAAACAAATGTCAAATCAAATTGTAGTACGTTTCGTTTTACGCATAAATGAATTATTGTACAGGTGTACAATTTTACCTATAGTTTTACTTACAAATGTATAAATTTAAAAAAAAATAATTTAAATAGCCTTTTGTTTTAATTAAAAAACAAACAGATTGCAATTATATATTACATAAATTAATTATTAGGTTTAGGTCAAGAGAATATAATATTAGGGTCGATTCTTAGGCACTATCCATTAATATTATTGGAATGGCAATATTAATTCATTTAAATTAAAATTTCAGTTTTTGACGATTTTACTATGAAGACCAATATGTACCAAATTTGTAATAGATTTAAATTATAATTATTATAAATTTGGTCAATACAAAATTTTACTTAAATTTTTAATTTATAAAATTCAACACAATTAAATGAACATACAACATTATGTGAACATTTGCATTTTGGACTTTTTTCTTATTCTTAGGAAAATTTTGATGTTATTTAGAACAGCCTATATGTTGGAAACTCCAACATATTTTAATACTGGCATAAAAAGTTTTTATTATATTTTTTATAACAATTAAAAATATATCAATTGTCATGAATTGAACAACGAATAAAATTGTATTTCTATTTTTTTTGACCGTTTAAATATTTAAATTGATGTATCAAGATTGAGTTCAATGCTGGTGCATTAACAAGTTGTTCCATAAACAAGAACATGGAATCTATTGGCCTACACTCTTTGGTTATAAAAAAAAATCTGTCATTTGTCGGCGTCCGTTTGTTTTTTAATTTAAAATTACTGATAATATTGTTATTCTGATTCAGAATTGTGACAAATTTATCTTACTAAATTGTTAAATATTGTTTTCTGGCTAAACAATTTTTGCCAAAATGGAAAATTCTATTAATGAAAATGAAGCGCATCAATCTTTTCGGTCACCACCTCGCCGAATGCGGTCTACCTTTTTCGAAAGAAGAGACTCTATAGGTTTGTTCAATTTATAATTTTTTTTTTCACGTACAACTTCAATAAAATGTTATTAAAACATTTTTAGATTTTAAATATTCGTATATTGTTATTTCAGTACCACAAACATTAACAGAAGATGCGGATGTAGATGAGTGTAAACAAACGAAATTTGATAGTCAAAAGCACAATGAAGAACTCTCCAGGTAAACTTGTAACATCAGCCAAGATACCTTTTTCATTTAAAGGAGTGAATGTAAACAATATGTTAAAATATTGTATTCTAATATCTTTATTGTACATATTTTACACTGAACACATTAAAAAGATTAAACTTTTTTATTCTTGAATTTTCAATCATACTAATATTATTAATGCAAAAACCAGGGGTTACAGCTAGTATTCTAATTGCTGGGCATCATTTATATTGGTTATTTGATAGGGCCGTTGTTCGTTCATTTGCACCGTTAAGAGGCGGCCAATTCGTTACAAGTTGTTTACTGGGCCGATTTCGGTTAACCAAAAACTACTTTTTTCCCGGTTTGATGCCCTGTGTATAATAATAAACATTAAAAATTAAAGTATTTTTTTTTAATGTTATCCTGGGGGCGGCCATACAGACTGGCACGCAGGCGGCCATATACCCAGGCACGGCCCTGTATTTGATTATTCTCTATAAGGACACTAGCATGAAAACAAATTTGTTTATAATTCCAACAAAATCCCAAAATCATACAGTAATGTGTCTATTGAATTAGGAGTTGTTTCTTGCAGCTTGCCTACATGAATCAGTATATAAAGCATTATATAACCTGACCTGCCTATGTACCAAATTTCATTCAAACATGTTTAGCAGTTTTAGTGTGATTGAGTGACAAACATTTTTATAAACTTTCACATTTATAATATTAGTAGGATTTTATAATGAATATTATATTTTTCAGGTATTATGATAAACTTTTATCAGAAAAAGACCAGTGGAAAAAAGAAGTAACTAATAGACAGAACAAATATCATGATCTTAGACAGTAAGTTTTTACAATATTGGAAATTAATATTAATTTTATCATATTGTATATCTCTTTTATTTATTTCAGTCAATATCAAATGGCAGTAAAAACATCCAGCAGATCAAGAATGTCCTATGCTGCATTATCAAATGAAGATATTGAGTTTCTGAAAGCAAAACCAAACATTGCACATCTAGTTGAGTGTCAACAAAAACTGCGCAAGTCTGTGAAAGAAACTAGAGCATTATTCAAAAGAGTTAATGAACTTGATGATGTACTATTGAATTACAGTGAAGATAAAGTCAACAAAATTACAGAATACATTTTGGAGAATAGTAGTGTTGACCCTGTGTAAATTTTTTGATGCTTAATTCTACAATAATATGGGTATTGATAATTGTGTCTTCCTTTTAAAATGTTCATTGTACAAGGACAACACAAACATCAGTTCTGTACTATATATTGAGGACATAATATCATAATTGATTTTATTGTTAATAATTTTGTAAATATAAGTACACTAGAGACTATTTTAACCTCATATGCATGGTTTATAAGATTATTTATTCTATTATTGCAATCTACTGAAATCTAGAAATAAATATCCTGATAGCAGGATTTAAGTATGTACTTTAACATAATAAGATGTCTGAAGTACCCTTTAGATATTTTTGTAGTTTTAAACTAAAAAAGACTAGTGTATATTTGTTAGTTATATTTTCAAGACTTCATCAGCCTGCAGAACAAAAAAAAAACAAACTAAATGAATTATTTTTGTATTTTATAGCTACATCATGTCAAGGGGACTTGACATCAACTTTTTATTAAAAATATGAAATTTGCATCACAAATACTTGTCAAAATGTGTTGTCAGAGATGGCTCAAATATTCTAAGGAATATAGTTATATTCAATAATTTTATTTATGTACATAGACTACCTCTAATTAATTGTAAATAACACATTTATTATATTTCTGTACTTTGTACATACAATTCTTGAATTAATGTAAATATTTTTACAATAAAAAAGACTAACAACAGGAATGTTTAATAATTTCTAACTTATATTTTAGTTTTCTCTATGGAATACCTATGGACTTCGAACCTTATGATTTTACTATAATACTTACTAGCTGACCTGCAAACATTGTTCTACCCTATACCCCACTAGCAGATCCATCGGATCAGATGGTCTCCGCGCGGATTCTGGAAACCAACGTGATTAATTCTTGTAGAATTCATTATGATGAGCCAACCGACCTGCATATAGTCTTACCTATACTCTCTCACTAGTTCATCGTCAGTATACACTGAGTGTAAATGGGGTCACCGTTACATTTTTATCCGTTTAATAAAAAGCATAATATAGTAAATAACAAACTAGAATAGTTTGTTATTTTTCTCTAAATTTGGAGTAAACAATACAAATATACAATATTTCATTAAAATCTGTTGAGCGGTTAATTTCATAAAAATTCGGAGATTAGTGTAAATAAACATCATGGCACGGAATTTTTATAAAACGTATATTTGAATTGTGCCGAATTATCGATAAAACATATGTGAGTAAGGAAACTAGATAAAAAAAAATAGATATTTGTCAGGTCAGAAGTTCTAACTCTAACAGTACTTTTTTTTTTAAAGTTTTCATAATTAGATTACAATATCTTGACACTTAGAAGGGTTAACAGCTAATTCATTGTTATATGACTATACCAGAATGCTGTTCAGATCATTATTAATATTCACTATACCATGATTGATATCATCTACAGTACTTTGAGTGTATATCTGAAGATCGTCTGCTTACTTTTTCATTCCACCTATCATCCTTCACTGGCGCCAGCCAGCGTATACCGTTAACGCAACGTATTAAAAATATGTCTATGGGTTCAATTCACGTAGAATTTTTGTTAGTTATATATAGAATACAAATTAAATTTATGAGCATATCAGTTTGTATCATTTGGACGTTTTCTATGTATATATAAAAATTGTATTTAAATATCCATATATAGCTTGTTAGTTTAGGGCTAGATGAAGCTATGTGATATGTTTACAGTACTTATTGTAATTATGATTAAATTCAATAATTATTAGAAGGAATCAATAATTTGAAATACAAAATTCAATCAAGAAGTAACAATTTATTCCATTTCCGTATAAATTAAAATTTCATTCATACAATTGTAATTAGAATTCCATTAAATACCATTTCAAATTCATTAGGTATAATAATAATTAATCAATCAAGAATTTTATCAACTATATATAAATACAATCGAAAATTATCAATATATATAACAGTAAATAATACAAGTGAAATTTTACATAAAGAACTGTGTTCTAGAACATATTGCACAAATCTATTTTCAAAAGCAAGTATACATAAAGAAAAATACTGATATAAAAACAAAATTATCTGGATGAACTCAATTAATACATGCATGAATTGATTGTTATTTATTCAGTATAGACAAAGTAGAAAAACTTCATTGAAAATAGTAACAGTTATTTTTTAATACGAGTATAAATTCACGTCGGAAATTAGAAAGCAATTTAACAACGCTTTTTTTATAGTGTCAGTTTCCAAACAATAAATATTCCCATGGGAATAACTAACGGCGTTTTAAAATATTTACAAAATCACTTTCCACTGTTTATATTTACAATCATTTAATAATATTGTAGTTGTTAAGATTGTGTTCTTTTCACTAAAAACCGTAACCCAACCATAAGCGTCACAAAATCTTTCTGCGGTCTTCTCGAATGTGAAGACTTTTCAATATTATTCAAAGTAATATCACTGTAATCTCTTTTACAATATTTCTACTATATGAAAAACTCAACTTAGAAATAAAGAAATGTATATTTGGTTCTGTAATTTTAGTTTTATAATAAGAAAATTATCATCAATCAATCATGTAAAAGTAGAATAGTTCAGAATTCCATTGAAAAAATGTATTACAGGATTAAAATAAATTATATTAGACAAACACATAGTATTCTAGCCATTGATTTACATACAATAAGGTTAAGAAGTCATACATCAAAGTACTTTTATATATAACGTTTATAGTTCTTTATTGAAATTTTATAGTCAGTACATTTTATTTGGCAAATTAATACAGTACCTGCAGAATATTCTCAACCATATATACAAAAATAATAAAAAATTCATCATTTACATTTTACAATTTCAGTAACATATTACGAAGTAAAAATAAATTATCTAACACAAATACAATATTTATTTACATACAAATTTCGCCATAAGTTTGAGAATATAACAAGTATTATAAAACGTTTGTTTTTTGTTTTTATTTCTAATTTTAAACTTGCGTTGTTGTGTGTTTTTAATCTTATCAAATAATATAAATTTGCGATTCCTCGTGACATATTCTCACTCCCACAGGGTAATGTAATTTAAAAGATAATAAAATTCAACAGTTTCTTATTACAGTTAAAGTTTGCGAAGAATGTATATATATATGGACAGATTATTTTCAGACATTAATCCTTATTGACAGCAGGCAGTGATTATAATAGTGTATAAATGTATCGAATCTGTACATCAGTTTATTCAATAAAATTCGTGATTATATTAATCACAAATGTATCATTCATTCACCGAAACTAGGGTACAAACAGTTTAATAAACACAACAATAGAATGAGTCAGTCTTAAAACTAATATAATTAATATTATAACAATTGTATAAAGCTGGTATTAAAGCACACCTGTTCAGTTTTTATTTTTATAATCAAAATGTTCTAAATCTGTATTTTAAACTAATAATTTGTGAAGCATGAGATGTATTTTTCATTTGTGTATATGTCTATGGCCACAGGTTAGGTATAAAAAAGAGGTAAAAATCCGTATATAGGTACATTGTCTATGTGGTGAATCCACACAAATGTAAACTTATCTCACGCCTCAGGGACTAGCAGATCTGGCGATATAAATAATGCTTATACACAGTACCTATACATAGTATATGTATAATTGAGCATTTAAAATTCTACTCTATTTGTACCCTAGTACAGTCTTTGATTATGTGAGGAACTTTGATTAGACTACACTATTATTATTTTGGTACTCAACTTAAATGTTTAGTGTGAAAACTCCTTCGTGTTTGTAGTTTCTTCTCTTTAGCTATTTTGTAGTCCCGACGACACGGACTGTTTCTACGGTCAAGAATTATATTTATTTTGTCCACAATCTCTTTGGCTGTTTCATGGTCACACTCGAAATCATGGTATTTGTACGTTGCGTTAGAATGGAAAATGCTGGCACCTGAAAATGTTACAATTGCAGGTAAACACTTTTTATAGCCCATCTATAACCTTCAGACGCATTTGTAGATGATAAACATACAAGATATACTATCTAGGTCTCGTAATCATTATTAATTCAAGAAATGGTTATAGGATTGTCTTCTCTTACATTTTAACTGATTTTAAATGTGCTCAAGAAAATATGGGGAACTCCAGTTTTGCACAATAACAGTAACAGATACATTATAAAAATAAGGAACTACAAAGGAAAAATAATTACCTAAATTAATATGGTCATAATTCGTATTATGTAAGGGTGAGTATAAGACCCTAAACGTAGTTTTACTAGCCTTGGCTTCCAGCATCTGGCACCACGCTATTGAGTCTATACTGTGCAGGAAGTATTTGGATTTTGACTGAAAAGTAAAAAAATACCTTATATTCTCTATAGTAATATAAAATTAAAAAAAAAAGATATTTAAAAAGACAAATAAATGATGGTTCACCTTATGAAAAGCAGTCATCGAAATCTATAGACATGATACAGCACCATGTACGTCACAGAACACACTATAATGTTCATGTATTAATAAACAAAGCAATACATATGAGACCGCGTTTTTTATATCATCATTATATCAGTTGTTAGCTGCCCACTGCTGAGGCCTCTTTCTCTATTGAGAGGTTTTGCCAGTAGTTGCCACGCTTGGTAGACGGATTGGCAATTGCAGTTAGGCTTTGGTGATGTTTTAAGAGAAACACTGCTGCCAATTCCTCGACAGTTAAGTTTCCTTAGTCACCTCTTACGACACCCACAGGAAAGAAAGGCGTGGTCCATTGTATGTCGATATTACATGGTTTCAAAATGCTACATGTATTTAAAATATGTGTAAACAATGAAAATGATTAAAATTAACTACATGGCAATTGTTATATATTGGTATTAAATAATTTAACGTTACCCAAAATGCGTGCTTGTGCGGGATAAGAGGCTCCACCTCAATCTTATCAAATGATATGACAAGCTGTACCGGTATATTCGTACGCACTTTTCGTAATAAATTAACTCTGTACATTTTATACTGTGGAGGCTCTGTCATGTGCGAGTGTAGTTTATCTAAGTCTGTATCGCCAGCTTTCTTTTCTATAAAAAAAAAAAGATATATGTTTTTATTATATAAAAAAGTCGAAAAACAAATTAAGGTGTGATACACTATGGCCAAGACACAATAAAGCTGACAGATCGAATTCATAACACAGTAGCGACATGAGTAAGTGGGTTTTATAGAGTCAATAAAATGAGAATGGTGTACTCACCTATGCTAACAGTAAACAATGGCTGTACACCAGTGAGGGATTAAACTATAAAGATTAATGAAATCAGACCAGTTGGGCCCATTCTCTATATTGCTAGCGATGGGGCTACACTCTCCATTACTAACAATCCCCCCCCCCCCTCAGCATGTTAAGTTGACATGTGCAAAGAATGTTAGATAAAGATTGACGAAATAAATATATGATGTGAAAGATGAATACAAGCACCTGGGATGGTGCAAACTGATCTCACTGTAAACCAGATGGACTGTGAGCAATATGGTAGACGAATTAAGAATCTCCAGATTTGGAGTGTATATATGAGACAATTATTGAAAATTGATAAAAAAAGACATATTTTAGGATGCCACTAGTGCTCAGTTATCTCTGCTTACTCTGTTAGGGACTTGGGATGATGATAGATGGGTGAGCAATTGTTATCTAAATTCACAGGATATGTAACAGCTAATTCCTCTAATAATATAAATATAAAAACTTGTAAAGGTCTTTATATGTTTGTTATTTGAGTACATTTAAAAAGTTGTATAGATTTTAAATAAATCTTAAAGTGGATGGTCACTAAAAAAGATTGGACATGAAATACTAGATGGCGCTAGAATGGAGACTTGTGGTTTTTATAGATTATTTTGTAATTAATAATTCGAGACAACATTTCCAAATTGGCGAGTGATTTTATTTATTTTTTACTAATATAGTAATAATTTATCCATATTTTTGTCTTTATTCTCTTGTATTGTACAACTTTATGAAAAACACATACTAGCAAGAAGCGAATGTGTGGGGTTAATGAATGGTTTCATTCATGAAAAGATCGCGTATTACACACTTTATATTCATAGAAAATGATAAAAATCATTTGCCAATTTAGAAATTTAATCTTAATACATAGGACACTTTACATGCTGGTATATGCCTGTCAATACACAGGAAAAAGCTAATACTTTATAATATTAAACTCACCATTGGATACCGCTTTTATAGCTATTTTGACAGTTTCAGAAGTAGTACTATCTCCTGTATTGAGTCTAGGCTGCGTGTGATGACTATGGCCAGAATCTGAAGCTTTTGGAAATATATCCAATCCTTTATACAACATTCCATCATCAGGTATAGAATGTATTGGCCCGTGAGTAAGTGCATTTTTGTTATTTAAATCTACAAGACCAAGACATGTGAAACCAAATTTAGAACACGGTTCATTGGCATCAAGACAAGGAAACCCAATATCGACTTCCCCATCTTCCTCTGCTATGCAAAGTCCGTAATTATGCACACATCCCAATGTTACTTCAGGATGTTCAATGCTGTGGAATAATGTTGCAATTAAATTAATATTATATTAGTTATACAATATTTATAAACAGTCAAGGTTGTAAATTGTAAATTTAATAGGACTCTCTTTTCCGCGCTAAGCCTCTCATTTGAGCTATTGTGTGTATGACATAGTCTAGGTTTTAAATAGTGATTAAACTCTTAGAGCTTGATTATGATGAATACTAGCACCTATTATTGTAGAGAATGATATTAGAAGAAAAGAAGAATGTTTGGTTTGCACTGATATAACAGTTATATTTGAGTAATATAGTTACTTTAGTTGTCAGTTGTAGTAACATATTAGAAGTGCCTGAAATGTATTCTGATGTGATATAGTATGGTACTCTGTGGGCTATCAGCTTATTTGTCATTCAGTTGAAATGCACCACTATTCCAGAATAGGGTTAATTACCTGTATTTATAGCAAGTGAAACCAATAAGATCTTTAATCTTTGCATTTGCAATGACACAGACAACTAGGGGATAGTTCTGATGCTTTTCTGGAAGCATTGTCATGAAGATCTTAAACGACTTTGTTGGTAGTCCTAGTTGTGCAGTGCCATCAAACTTTGCATACTCCAGATATTGACGATGAGGAAGGTCCGGACAGTTCTCAAGCTGTTCAGTTAACAATGACTTCTGTTTCTCTGCCTTTTTCACTTCGACTTTGGCAAACATTTCTGATATCTGTTCAGATGTGAGTGGTGCTGGGTCTTCCCATTTTATAACTTTTATTTTAGCTGCCTTTTTTAAAGCTTGTTCCTTTTTATCTAGCCTTTGAGCTGTATTAGATCTTTGTCTGGAAATAAAGATTTTTTGTTAAAATGTAACATACCTATGGCAGCAACTTGGTCCACACAATATCATTGCTATTGTAGAAAACAACATTAAATTTTACAGTAATAGTAGATATTACATAGTAGTAAATTTTTTCATAAACACATATATCTAAATAACAAATAATAATAACATACTATGCAATTAGAGGCCAATTTGTAACTCATAATTTGTTTTACTGAATATAAAAAAACATAGATACATTAGTTTTAACATGGAACAACCTAATTAATTAGGGAGAAGGGGTTGTTAGTAATGGGGAGATTAGTCTCCTTTGCTAGCAATATAACCTATCAGGTTGAACTTCATGTGGTCTTCCCTGGAAAAAATCATAGTTAATTCCTAGTGAATTTGGCATGATGGGCTAACTGACCTGAGTTCATTTTCATTACTTTATCCTTCACTGGTGGGCCACTATTGTGTACCATAATCATAGATTAGTGCATAATTCCATTATTATCCATTAAAAAATACCTAGTCAATTACAAAAATTTGATAATTGTAACTTCTTTTCCATGATATTCAACCTTCTTCTGATGGTAGATTAACAATTACAATACTAAATTACTGTTTTGACTTCTATTGTTTACTATATTAATTTACATAAATATTATTGTTATTTATATGTATGGATTTTTGTAATAGATATATTATAAGAGTGAAATATACCTGTGTCCACCAAAATCATCATAACGTACATAGCTGCCACACATCAAGTCATCATCCTCACTGTCCTCCATGTCGGGATATGGGTCAAATTGTGTCACAATTTCTCTATCATCATCATCTTCTGATATATCTCCCATGCCCTCTTTACCTTCATTCATAAAAAAAATATTCAGTTCAATATGTAAAATAAATATATTAAATAGGTTGTTCGCGACATTATTTGTATATATGTAATCGTAATTTATAGTTGTTAAATCGTTTTTGTATACTGTTATTTTACATAGATTTTACATAGATTTAAGATACCTATAGTGTAAGTTAAATAAAGCATTCTTTGTGTGTTGTTATTATTACCTGCGAATAGAAATAGAAATTGTAACAATAAATAGAACTAAGTAAATTGTAATAAATAAATAGACGCTATATGGTACCTTCTAAAGAGATACCGTCTCTTTCACTTCGCCCCGTATAATAATGCACAGACTTAATTTAAAAAATAGAAATGTTATCGTGTATAAAGATAGGCCGCCTCCCGTCGAGCGGCATTTGCTTCCGAGCAGCGACGCACTACACTCTCGAGAAGAAATAGTCAACCACAAGAAGAAAAATACTCTCTTCAGACGGTACCTTGGAGGCTTCAGAATAGTAATCGCTGCGTTTCACTCCAGCCTGAACCAACGCCCCTACAGTCCACGCTCACCGAACGGCAGTCCACACCGTTCATAGGTATAGATATTCTTCTATTATTAAAATGAAGCAATCATATTTTTATATTAAAAGTTTAAAAAATAGATAATGCTTGTTTGCCACCTCAGTGGTATAAAAAAAAATATTATAGATTAATGTGATATATTTTGTATTTTCAGCAAAACAAAGCATATGTCAAATTGAAAAAATATCTGTTCTAACTAGACAATTAACATTACATACTACCTAATATAGAAATTAAGAGGTGAGGGATTGTTAATAATGGAAATCAGTGCATACTAACATACATATACCTCTGTATTTTTGTAAAGCCATATAATAATGTACTTAATTTAAAAAATAAATGTATCTATTCCATCTGTATCTCTTCTCTATATCCTCAACTATCTTCCTAATATGACAGTACCCTTCAACCAGCTGTAGCATTGCTAAGAACATACCCTATAAAGTCAACCTCCATGTGATTTACCCTTTATTGTGTAATCCTTGTTGGTTTCATCACTATGGACCAACTGGCTTGTATCCATTTTAACCTATCATCCCTTACTGGTGCATTCCAGTGTATACCGGCAGCACACACGAGGTTACCATACCATTTTCACTCATTAAATAATATATAAAAAGACAATATTTAGATTTCGTACAAATGGAATTTATAACTACAGTAACTACTATTTATTAATTTCCATACCTTTATTTACGCTTGTTTGTTTATATCTGCCTTCTTTTATTCTTTTTCTGTCTTCAACAGCCTTGTTTTGAAATATTTTTGAAAAATCCTCACCAGCCATTACAATTTCACATAAACCTGTATCGTCAGTCGCTATAAAGGCATCCCGTATATTTTTAAGGAGCCAAATTTTGTTGTCATACGTAGCCATTTCTATAGACTACTATATTAATAGCAATAATCTGAGTATTTCTCTTTAATCCACAAATATAATAAAAATGTATTTAATTCCAAACAAACAAATAACAGTGGCCGACGTAAACTTGTCATTTGACTTTTTTTTTCTTATATTTTGTGTTTGCGACTTCTAGGTATTATGTTTTATTTATTACAGGTGTAATTTGTCTATGGGACAGCTGGGTTTCATCCACACACGAATGTGGTATCTTGAATGAGATTATTTTTTAAATCGCATTTCCCTTTTTAAAAGGTTGACCATGATATGATGATACATAATCAAAACGGGAGAATTTGTAAAATTATAATTATATTTAAAATATTTATATATTTTAATGCAATCAAATCCTTAAGTCTATGCTGATTTCACAAATTAATATAAGCCAAAGTCAAGCACATCTTGAGGATATAACTATTAAGTTTGGATAATACTAGCATAAAATTTATATATAAATATTTACGATTACTTCAATAATATTAATACTAAATACAAATTCAAACTTACTGTTACCGTGTATACCGGCTTATAACTTTTTCTAAATGATACATTTAGAAAAAGTTACTAGTTTTTATATGGAAATGTCCTCAACTCTTATAATAAAATACCGGAGGATATTTTAGATCTATTTATTATTAAATTTAAAACTGTTATTAAAATACTTATTAAACAAAGTCTACTAAGCCATTAATTGATTAACAAATGTGTCTGGTGCTAGTCGATTATGCACGGGTTTTTTAATGACCGAGAAATTGTAGATATAATTTTATACATTTAAATAAATTTATATAGTGTTAACAGATATTTACAAGAATGACTGCTGAGTTTCTTGCAAGTTCATTTCAGCAGATAACAACTTTCCGAACCTTGTAGTAAATTCATAAAAAAAGACGATTTAGATATATTTGTAAACAAGTCTATTTGAATGAAGATGACCTAAATTTGAATTTACTAGAGCTATCATTTATTATAGTCTGTCATATTACTCGTAAAAAGATATATAAATAAATACGTCTGTCAACATAAACTATTGTGTTTCGTAAAATGTATAGTAATATAAATGTATATCAGTTCGGTTCTTGTTCAATTTCTTCTAAAATTCGGCGGTATATTCTAATATATATAATATTGGTCTACTTACATTCCACCTTTCATTATCAATTAGGTAAGCCATTCTGTTCTATTAATGTTAAAATAATAAATATTCATTCATTTACAATAACTTGATATAAAATTACTCTTAAAACAATGATCTTGTTTCTAATTTAAAGGTTTTTTTTTATCAATGTGTAGTGTGAAGGGTTCGTTGGATAAAACAATAAAAGTATAAGATACTGAATAAAGATATATTATGTTGTTCCCTAGTACAAAAATAGATGTTTTTAAAAAGGTAATGACGTTTCTCTAATAAAACAAAATACACATTGAAAGTTGTTACCTTGTAATTGTTATTTTTTGGCTGATGGCTTTCGCCAAACTCACAATAAATGAAAAAAAAAAACATTGAAATAACAAGAAAAATGAATAAATTCTATTTTTAAAAATAATTTAAATAAAACCTCAACATGTAGTATTGTAAATAGGAAAACGTATTACTATAAATAAAAAATAAAAAAGTTATTTGTATAATCATTTTTATTTTTTACATCAAAATTAGTTACAATTCAATAATTTTAAAATATTTCCTGAAAGATTGAGATCGTGTCGTAGATCAATGTCATATTTAATTTTTATCGATAATACCTACACAACATGAAACAACAATTCTTACTTATAAACAATTAACTTAGATATTTTAGTCACAAGGTTATATATAACACTTACATTTATATACACTTTATAAAACAAAATATGTAGACGTTTCAGTGCATTAAATAATTTTGAACATAGTTGGAATTTTAGGCATATCGTAAATTATTGGGTAAAAATTTTAACAACTGGTAACATCTTTGTCGCTGTCAATCAGTGCAATCAGACAAGTTGTCAAATCAAAGATCTTTTGGTTGTTATAGCAACGCTTGTTTGTTTTTATCGTATTCATTTTAGATGTAATTATTGGAATTGTAAGCACCGAATATTGTTATAATAAACAAAATATTATTAGCACGCACGAGGTCAGTAACCTGTAGTTCATAAATGTATTATAGGATTTAGAAAATAGAAAAAGTAACTTTCATTATAACACAACGAAATTGTAAAAAATACATGTTAAAATAATTTATGTTATTCTGTTCTCAACAGTACTTAATAAATATTTTAACTAAACATGAATACATATTTTTTAAGGAAATATTACAAAACCACGAAGAAATTTATAACCTCCAAAAAATGTTTTAAACATACGACAAAAGTTTACACTATGCTATAATTTCCGATAGCCAACATACAACGTCTTAAGTCCTGGACGCAATCATAGTATGACTTGTAAGGTGGTGCAAGAGTTGCATCATACAACTTCAAAACTTCAATGAATTTCTTCATCGCTTCTCCATATTTCCCTTCCTCCATGGCAGTACGACCAGTACGGTATATTATGTCTGTGTCCTGTAATACGAGATTAATATCAATCAGAGAGAAACTATAAAAGTCTTTTGATTACCATAGGCACCAGGTGGGCCATGCTTATTCTATAATTGACTGGTACCCACCATAAGTTTGAAAGCATAGTTTTCAACTAGGAGGGAGGATGAGGATACATATATGCTAATATACATTATGGAGCTAAGTCTACCCTGTGCCTTCCATGTTTCTGCCGTGAAATAGGTATGTTCCAGTTTTTAAGAGTAGGATATGGCAGTGAAGATATAGATGTATAAGACAATGGTCCTTGGTATCGGCAACACATGAAATATAATATGAGCATGTGCAGTGTATTTTTTGGTATTTATTGTACTGTTCATGCCTGTAGGTATCAGTTATCACTTTCAATTACGTGGGTCATCAACTTGTTTATTTATTCTCATAATTTTTTTTATGTATCTTTATGTCAGGTCCTTAAAGTGTAGGCAGAGATTTATGCTAAAGGCCTACATCCTTATATACATCTTTTTTTTATATATTTTATATCTATATACATATAAAAGAATCTGTTTTGATTTAAAGAATCTGGTATAAAGGTAAAGGTGTGAAATGCCTGAACTTAGGGCCATACCAATGAAAATAGTGACATATTATATGTGCCCATATATCTGTTTAACTAAGTTCATATATATATATATATATATATATATATATATATAAGAATTAAGTACCATTTTACCAGCTTGTTTATTTATAAAAGAAACTGACAAATAATTGCTAAGTACACTTTACAGAAATCCTTTATTAGAAGAAGACATAAAAGTTATGTAAATGAAGGTATTATATAAGAAAAATATTTTTATTTTCAGGCACTAGTACTATAGCTATTAATAATTACCAAATGGTTTTAAATTCATTATGGCCGATGACGATGATGGTATGTATGCTTTTTATTTGTTTATCTATATTATTTTGTTAGTATTTATTAAAAAAAAAATTAAATATATTTCATATCTGTCTTGCTAAACATTTATCTGATGCTTATAGACATCCTCTAATCACTCAATATGTGGAAGATTGGAGAGTGTTAGAATCTGAACTTAAACATTTCTATCTTTCCTATCTTGGATGCTTAATGTGAGAGTATTTCAGATTGAGATAGCCTAGCTTTAAAAGATTACAGTTAGCAGTAAACAAGAAAAAATAAATCATAGACTTTTATTTGTGATTATATTGCTGAAAGCAATCTCTTCTAATCTAATAATCTGAATAAAGTAAAATGTTTGGTTGGAGGCATGATACATGTATGAACTACTATTGACATTTCAGTTGTAGATGAGGAGCCAGAAGCGGGAGGTGGTACTGGTGATAGTGTGACTGCTATCAGTCCAGTGGAGACAGTGAAACCATTAGCTCCACCAAAATATGAAGTGCGACCAGGCCTTGGGGAAAAGTAAGTTATTAACATTTTTATTTTATTTCTCAAATTATTGCAATTTTTTCAGCCTATTTAATTTAATTTGTAATTGACAACAATAAAGAAAACCTTATGTTATTTTAATTATTATAGTTCAAGATTATGGTTTAGTTTAAAGGCTGAATTATAATAAACTTAGACACGACTAAAGCAAATTAGAGAGTATGTATTCAAGTTTCGTCTGATTCAGGTTTCGATAGTGAGGTAAAAATGTTCCTTACATTAGACTTTTTTTTTAAAATGGGTATTTATCCATTCACCTAATACTACCAGCTTTATCAGGAAAATAGCAAGGATGGTTGCTGTATATAGGAAAATGTACGTATAATTAGGAAATAAGTGATACACATTTTAAGTAAGATAATAAATACTATGTGCCTGTTGGCTTTATGTAAGCTTTTGTTGCTTAAAATAAAGATATTGTTAAAAAGTATTAACAATATAAATTGCAGGTTTCAGTCGCAAAATGTTCGTGATATCATATTGTCGACGATGCAAGAACAACTTACAGGGCGTCAGTATCGCGCCGACCAAGCTCCGCAGTGGGCTAAAGTAATAGCCAACGCTGTAAGACAGAGAGTGCAAGAACTTGATATGAAGAGGTAAATCCTTATTAATATTTGGTATACACATACTAAATCGGATGGCGAAGGATATATAGGGTTTTATCACGGTTAGTAAATATTTTCCAGTCGCGCGGACAAATTCGCGGATAAAAGCTAGTTTAAAAAATAAATATGTTTACAACTGTAATTATTGCTTATATAAGCCATATCATATTACGAAAAACGGAAAATCCCACATGGTAAAAGGCATTTGGGGTAGGCCTACCTTGGATAGATGATGATGATGATGCTATATTTATTTGTTTATTTTTAAAAGGTATATCAACAGTGTAAATACAGACATTGATTTTATTTGATATACAGGGCTTGCATCTTGCATTTACACCAATTACAAATGTACACAACATTTTCTTAAGTCATCAATTACATATTAACAAAACTGACACCAACAAAACAATAAAAAACATACAGGTGATAACATAAGAATACTTAAAATATATAATTATTAAAATTATTATTGTGGATGTCTTTGGAGATGTTTTAAGAGACTCTTACGATACCCATGGGAAAGGAAGGGATCGCCTATTCTATGCTGGGACCACACAGCAGTTGCTAAGTTTCTAGACATTTTTTTATAAACTTTCATAATTTTGTGTTGAAGTTTTAATACTGGCTGTTGACATTGATGTTTTTAAAACATGTATTTTTTTTATTATTTAGTCTGTCATAGTCTCTAAAAAATGAATCTTGTATTTTGACTAAATTAAGAATGTATAACAAATACAGAATGTTTTAATACTCTACCTGTATTCATTTTGTTGAATATTGATTAAGTTTTATTAAGTTTGTAAAAAAATATATGTGGCTCGAAGCAGTGAGTGAGTAATTTATACTTAAATAAACATTTTGGTAAACAAAAAGTAAATAAATGGTACCTGTATATCAGTTTTCTAATATCCGTAGTACAAGTTTTGCTTGGTTTGTGGCTAGATGGCGCGGTGTAATGCATCCATTGGTATTTATTATTTACAAATAAATACAGTTGTATTTACTTGTAAATGATATATACTATTATACTTGTATATAATAATACAATTAATTTTCCGCAATTAAATAATACACATATCAAAACTGCGTTGAAATGTTACACGATAAAAATTATCTCACTCGACTTTGAATTTTTTTTTTTCAGGTACAAAATATTAGTACAAACGACCATAATAGAAATGAAAGGGGCGGGAATTAAATGCGGACAAAGATGCATTTGGGATCCGGAGACTGACGACTACATTGATGATCTGTTCAAGAATGACAGTCTATTTTGTTACACGATTGTATATGGGGTTTATATGTATTAATATTACAGACTAAAGTTATGGAGTATTGTTCAAGTCATCCTATTGTTAAGTACGAGTTTCCCCGACATAGGAGAGAGAGATATAACCAAAGTTGGTCAGGAAGTTTGGTATAGAGTTTTAATTCGAGTTTTCATCTCTTCTCTAGCATTGATGTTTTATTTGTACCCTAGTCGCATCTTACAATAGAGTTTCTTAGAATACATGTAATTATTACTTCGTTACTTAAATAATAATAAAATCCATGTTTATACTTAAATAAATAAATTCTTACTCGATAAAAACAAGTAATTGAATATATTTTCTATTTACTCGATCACTACACGGAAAAATAAAAGGATTTTATTTATTGTTATATAAATTAAATACGGTGTGTGAAGCAACAGAGATGGTAATTCATTAGTATGAGAAACTGTGGATATGCTATTTTATCGTACCAATTTTATTAATAAAGATGAATCAAAAGATTTTAGACTTTGTTTGGACTTTGATGTGTTTTACCAGACGACGGCTTTGCGCGACTTTCGAAGCACGAAGCAAATGATCATAACTTTTAAATTATCCAAACCTAAATGGAAAATTCAGAGGTTTGGTCTGGGATTCGACTTTGAAATCCTCGGATTGCAATCAAACTTGTCCAACTGACCTAGTTATATCCTATTTAAACATTTCTGAAGTTACACGGGTGGATTACTGATCAACTTTTATGTATTAAGATGGTTTTTCCCATTAGATTGGTATGTGTTTATTATCTATCTATATTTATACTAAATTTGTAGAGAGGTCAATTCTGTACGTGAAATATATTTCCAAAATAACTATCAGGGGGTGATTAGTGATCGATACTGATGCCAAAAATGCAATCAGTAAAATTTTTGCCTGTCTGTCTGTATGTTCGTTATAAAAACAAAAACTACTCGACGGATTTTAACAAAATTTGGTACAATTATTCTTCATACTCCTGGGCAGGTTATAGTATACTTTTCATCACGCTACGATCAATAGGAGCAGAGCAGTAAAGGGAAATGTGTCTGTCACATCAAAACCACTGAACCGTGAGGAAGGACATAGGCTTATTTTAAGAAAAACGTCAGAAACGTGGACGAAGTCGCGGGCAACAGCTACTATATATAAAAAATCATGAATAAATTAATTATTATTATTATTATATCAACCGTTAACTGTCCACTGCTGAACATAGGCCTTCTCCATAAGGCGGATTTTGCCGATAGCTGTCTCTGTTAGTAGGCGGGTTAACAATCGCAGTTAGGCTTTGGTGATGTTTTAAAAGAAACAGTGCTCCATCCCTCGACCATTAAATTAATTAAAAAATAATTAAGGCACGGATAATGTAATTAAGGACTACCTACCTATATGACACTATAGAGTTAAATACATATTTCATATATTTTCAAATTGATTTGTAAAATGATGTAAATGCAATGTGTAATGCCACCAGTTTTACGGGGTATGCCTTCTCAGTGGCATTGTCTTTCTTTTTTTTTATACAACTTAGAATGGCAAACAAGCTGATGGCCCACCTGATGGAAAGTGGTAATCATTGCCTATAGACATGAGCAGTACCATGGACATAACAGAGAATACAGTTTCGCCCATGATACCCCCCATGCGTTGCCATTCCTGAGAACTCGGGTGTTATTCCTCTGTATCCAGTAAATTCACGCTATATCCCACCCTTCAAACCGAAACACAGCCATGCAAACACAACTCCTTCACGGTTGAAACACGAATTCTAAAGCAATGTAATGAACGGTGCCTATTGGATATTTAAATAGTATTTATTTATTACTGAATAATTACCTATATGTCATTAGGGAGTTTCAGTACCTTTTTGAGTAAAAGAAATGTATTTTTTCTAAGACTGAATGTAGTTAATAAAGGTTTTGTTTTACTGAACTTTATTTTATTTTTCTAAGACTCAACTATACTTGATAAACTAATTTGAAGGAGAGGGGATTGTTAGTAATGGATTCTAGTAGCTCCATCGCTATCAATGTGTCCTGTCATCGATTTACATGCAGTTGCCTCTAAAAACCATGGTGGCCCAAAGACCTATCTTTCATTAGTGCCCACCAATGCAAGATAAAAACAGGACAATGCTCTGAAGGACTGGTGCAGTACCCATTCTATTATCTTGCATGAATAGGACTTATAAATTACGTTAGAAGTAATACTGTCTTGTTGATTCAACAATGACATATTGTTGTCTTTTTTAAGCGGTTATCTAATTTCTCTTTTATAACTATGTTACAATGTTACGTTGCCGATTCTTAATTGATTTTGATAATTATTTTTGTAATCTATATGGTTTACTGCTGTCTTGGTCCCGTATTGATATTATAATGAATTTGTAAAGATGTAGTTTTTCTGTGCGAGGAAAAAAAATGCTTTTTAATATGTGTAATTTACATGTAGACACAAGACATACAGTTTTTTAGAACCAACCTTAGACTTAAGTACGTAGCATGTTGTACTAGGTCTATGGAACTAAAACTAAGATTGTTTTGAAAAGATTGCTCAGAGCGGTAAAACCGCTTTACAGTAATTATACAATTGTATAATTACATTTGTTAGTTGTATCGCTTTATTCCATGTGTTGTATAATGTAAATAAAGGATATTCATTCATTTAACATTATAAAAAAGTTTACCGTTTTACCCAACCGCTGAAACGTGCTTGTTTGGGGAATTTTGTTAGCAATGGGGACTAATAGCCCCATTGCTAATATTATACCCCATTAGGTCGACCTCCACGCGGTTCTTCCTGGAAACCATCGTTGTAAATTCTTGTGGAATTCGTCACGATAGACCTACTTTCATCCTTACCTTATCATCCTTCACTGGTGCCCCGCCGGTGTATACCGATAACGCAGGCGGGATTACCATTCCATTATCATCCATTTAAAAAACACACGTTTGCTATATATATTTAGATCTTATATTTACGCTGCTTTTCCTCTGCGGAACAGTGTAGACTGAAAACCCATTAATCTAGCGCAATCTTACGGTACAGGTAAATGAAACTTTCGGCCGAAACTTAAAATTTTGCAGTATATCAAATTACGTTACTAAATGAACGTAAAACTATTCAAATTTATGTTCGAGACAAAATTATATCGATTCCAGATGTGTTGTGTGTACAATTTATTGTCACGATTTGTGTGTATATGCTAATGCTTTTACAATTCGGTCGTTCACTGCAGGACTGTATTACTGCCAAATACAGGTACCTACTAAATAATTTCCATACGCGTCTTAATTTTATATTCATATATACCTATCACGGTTATTACATTACGAATGGTCAGCCCTGCTAATAAACTATGTACTCATATATATATATATATATATATATATATATATATATATATATATATATATATATATATATATATATATATATATTAGTTATAAATAATAAAAAGTATAAATCATAACTATAATAGTATAGTATTTTTTTTTTAATGGGTGATAATGGGTAATAGTAACCCCACCCGCGCTATCGGTATACACCGGCGGGCCATCAGTGAAGGATGATAGTTGAGGATGAAGCAAATCAGTTAGCCCATCGTGACGAATTCAATAAGAATTGTTCACGATGGTTTTCAGGGGGAACCATGTGGAGGTCGACCTAATAGGTTATATTGCTAACAATAGGGGTGTCAATCACCATTCCTAACAATCCCTTTCCCCCCATTAGTATAGTTTTTTTTTTGATGGGTGAAAATGGTATGGTAACCCCGCCTGCGCTAACGGGATACGCTGGCGGAGCACCAGTGAAGGGTGATAGATGAGAATGAAAACAGGCCAGTTAGCCCATCATGATGAATTCATCAGGAATGAACCATGATAGTTTCCAGGGAGAACGACCAGGGAGGTCGACCTGGTTGGGTATATTGATAGCAATGGGATTGTCAGTCTCCATTACTAACAATCCCTTTCCCCCCATTAGTACAGTATTATATAACACTAACTTTTACTCACGACTCTTTTTCGCGACTTTTTACCTAGGTACGTGACCGAGAAATGTTTACCTAACCGGGATAAGAGACTATATCCTTCTTCATACCATAAAGTATGTCTACAACAAATTTCATAGTGGTAACCGTTGCTTGACATTCATCAAACAGGATCATGGATCTTCCTGAATATACTAAAACAGCCATGATACCTTTCATGTGTTGCCATATATGATAAGACTTACTTGAAGTGACTTTAGTCCTTTTAATACGTTAGTGTACTGTTGACAGAAGCCGCATTGCACCATAAAATCTTTACAATCATATGGAACTGCTATCACGTTAGGACATGGTCTATCTGAATCACACCTGCAAAAAATATACTTAGTTAATCATCATCATCATCATCATCATGATATCAGCCGTTATCTATCCACTGCTGTACACGGGCCTCCTCCGTAAACTACCATAAGGAACGGGTTTATTCCTTATGGCAGTTTACTATTGAGGGAATTTTGCTAGTAAATAAATAGATAGATACTCTTCATTGTTTCCTTCAAAAGATTACAATAGTAAACTTATTATATTACAATCAAGAAATAATCACAATGAGAAAACAATGGTCGACCTTATCGCTAAAAAAGATCTCTTTCACGTAACCTTTGGATGGAGAGGAGTAATTAATTATAAACAGTTTGATCGGAAGCACGATGAAAATTCATTCTATGCCAGAATCACATGGCACTTAGGTAATAATCATATCTAAATATTATTTTTTATGGCTTTTGGCTTTGGCTTTCCAGGGGAAGCCGTATATAGGTCAACCAGATAGGTCATATTACTAGTCGTCGTGGTCGCTAATCCTTGATACAAATTTTTCTTAATTTTCTAAAAATATTTTAATTGGTATTTTACTGATTGTCCTATGATAACTACTTTTCATTTTAAATTGGGGATATCATCTTATCATCTTATTAAGTGTCCACTGCTGAGCATAGGCCTTCTCCATAAGGGAGGTTTTGCTAGTAGTTACCACATTTTGGTAATGTTTTACTCGTAAGAGGGACACTGCTGCTTATCCCTCAACTGTTATGTTCCCTTAGTCGCCTCTTACGACCCCCATAGGAAAGAAGGAGGTAGCTCATTCTATGTTGGGACCACACTGCGAGACGGGACAAATTAGGGATAGTTGAAGTGTAAATTTTGTACTTACAAGATTATGAATCTTGATTTTTTTACTCGTTTATCAATAGAGTAACAAAAAAATGGCACTAACAATTATAAAAAAAAACCATTTACTTACTTGAATCTCATGTATTTCTCGTTCATTTCTTCATATAAAGGCCAATTTTGTTTACAGGGTATGCAATGGCATTCAAACCAGTATCGTTCTTTCAAATCAGCCCGTCTTTTCTCTTTTGGTACTGTCGTGAAGATGGGCCCATAATTTTCACCAATTTCTTCACCCTTTTTTATGTTCTTTACTGCCCTTACAACAATCTTTGAACCGCAAAAATATCTAAAAAAAATATGAATAATTTGAGGCACATGTTTATGTATCAATTTTTAAGCGATATAAGATTCTCAATTTACCCGAATTTTTGTGTCTGTAAGCACTTACGAACTGGTTTTTTATAATCCTTTTGGAAATCTTTACGATTTTCTATCATTTGAATTTCACATTAATTTTAGTTGAAATCGCCGTATGTATGCAATATATTTGAAACCGATTTTGATAACTCAAACAGAGTAATATAATCTATAGTATCACTCCTGTTTTTATCTTTTAATAATTTTGTTACTATTGAATGCATTATTGTGAAAGAAAACTATTAATTATTAGCTGTATCCCACGGCTTCTCAAGCGTAAATCAGTATATAAAATATATGTTAAATTGGGAACCTACCCGTGTACCAAATTTTATTCAAATTCATTCTACGATTTTTGTGTAAAAGAGTAACAAGTCATCCATTCATTGTTACAAACTTTCGCATTTATAATATTAATAGGATATTTAAAAACCAGCAATAAGTTAACAATTACCTGACTACACTCGGATCACATGAATGATTGAAAAGAGCGAGAGTCGGGAATACAGCACCAGCTAAGAAAACTGAATTTCCTTCATGCTTTATAATATTCTTTCCGACTTTTGGCTTCTGACATTGCAGCTCAAAAACTTCGTGAGCGTTGAATTGTAAAACTTGAAGATTTCTTAATAAAAGACCACCAAAAAGAGAGATATCATCATTATATTTCTCATCAACTGCCATAGACTTTATTTGGCTTAAATCTATAGGTTTATCCCTTGGCTTCCCATCGAAATATCCACAAATTTCTAATAGTTTAAGCAGAAAAATAGCCATTTGAGTTCTGTGCAAGAAATCCTGTTTAGTTCTTTTATCTTCATGGGCTACTAAGTTATATATACTTTTGTAATCTTCGGTTTTGTATGGGCCAGTAATTTCAGTCTCCAATTCCTTATTGATATTGACGAAATATTCTTTTTTGTTTTGCGTGATCATCCTAATAGCTAAATGACAGGTGATTGAACATCCTGATTTCCAAAGTAGTGGCAATATATGACATTCGTATGCATGGTACGTCTTTTGGGCTACTTCTAAACATTTGTCGCTGCAAAATATTACATTTGGACACGTGGGACACGGTATCGGAATTGGACACCTGCAAATTAGATTAAGAATTGATTATATAAACTGATATATATTAATCAAAGATTAAAAATACTATTCTTTATTAATAGAGAAGTATATTTTTATTAATTCATTGTGTGTTTTTGTCTACATTACGCGTCTCAAGTTCAAAACCAATTAAACAATATTTTTCTAAATCAATATGTATTACTCTCGTGTTAATTTTATGACAATTAAAAATGTATTTTTTCTTTGTAGAGAAAAAACAGCTAAAATTGCTTGTTGCGAAGCAAAAACATCTACTTGTTTACTGATACCGTATACTAAATTTAAAATATTTTCAATATAATGTCTCTATGAAACATCATGTCGTTAATTTGGTACGTATATTTAAAAGATTTCGGGTATATTCATAGACTCTTTTTTTTCATGGAACAAAATGTACTTGTTCAATAATATACATACTTAACGTAGCAGTTATGACAGTGGGTTCTGCAATATTCATTCAACAATGCACCACTGTGGGGGCTCTCGACTAACAAAATTTCTCCCGCTTCAATATCTCTTGTGGCTGTTGCAAATCTTCCTCTGATACCATTCTGATTTATTTCAACTGATTCTGAAGTCGCAGGATATTTCTTGTTATGATTTCCTGGGAGCTTTGGTTTAGGAGGCACTTTTTTCAAAGGTTCTGGATCTTTTGGATTGCCGGCCATTACTAGGCCCTTGTTTAATATTTCCAGCATAAGTTTGGCATCTGTGCGCATTTTTTGTCTTTTCTCTTTATCTAATTTATTTGCTTCATCTAGGGCGCTAATGGTGTCTCTAAAAAAGTAAAATACGTTAGGCGACGGTGAGTTTCTGTACGCTGTAATTCTTTACAGTGTTGTCGCAGTGTTCCTGATTTTTTTTATACAAGCAATCATTTACTATTAGGAATTTGTAGCCGTAATCATAATAAATATAGTGGAGGTACATTTTTTACATATATTTTTATTTACTATATAAATACAATGTTTAGGCATATTAATATTCTGTAAGAGATAAGAATTAACATGATTATTAAATTATAATCATTAATCTGTTGTTATTTCGACATTTCGATAAAGTTATATTACAACTTCAAGCTTATAACCACTGCCTAGACGAGTTAGTTAAATGTTAATTCCCATCTCAGGCAACGTAAAAGTCTAAAAGTGATTTTTTTTAAATATACTTACTGGAAAGCAATGATAGCCTCTTGATTCCTTTTCAGCACGAGTAAAGTTCGGGCCTTCCTCTCGTAGACCTTATATCGCAGATGCCGTGGATAACCCAGGGCCAAAGATCGTCGGATGTCTGCTAAGGTATCTTCATACTGTTCAAGGTGATTAAGTGCAGCTGATCGGTTTGCTAAGAGTATGGACATTTCTTCAGCTGTTGGTGAGAAGTTTATTTTCAAAAGTTATTGAATTAATAACTTTATTTAATTAATAACATGTAATTATTACATTAGAAGTATTTAACGTTGAAGAAAATACTCTCGGTATTCAACCGTGTAGCGTGTAAATATTTCATTTGGAACATGTTCTTAAAATTTTCGTTGCAATTAATTATTATTACCGAGTATTCGTAATAATTAAAGGATTTTAAATTTTTTAAGTGTTAACTACTTTAGAGACTTATTTCAGCGAAAGTAATTGGAAAAAGTCTATGTTTATGTAGTTATGTATCTACATACGTAGGTATGTGTTTATTTATTTAAACAACTTTATAGATAAAATGAAAATATGGCACAAAAGGCGGACTTAATGTTAGTAGCATTCTCTACCAGTCAACCTTTGTGATGAACAGTGAATTATGAACGTGGTACTTCATTATTAGGATAAATAATAAAAATAACACATGTATTTAATATATAGGTACGTTTATGTATCGATTTTTTTACGTATATACGATATATTCATAAATTTATATGCAACTTAGAATGCCATACGAAACCAAACTGAAGGTATATCCTTTCAAATAAAAAAAAAAAACTTTCAAAATCGTTTTATAACTGACTCTGACTCATAATCCTGTTTAAGTAACAATCATAAATAAATATCATCGAATTGAGAACCTTTTTTTTTAAGTTGTTTGAAAAACTGATCGACTCGACGCTGACTATACATAGGCTCGTCATAGAGCATGTTACGAAGATTATTTGACGGGAAACTGAATAGAATAATATGTAATAATAGAAAACCACATACTTTTAACCCTGTTCTTAGAATGATAATAAAGGTTTACACCAACACAGCAGCAATATTCTCAGAATAAAATATGCATCTCCTATAAATTAGTTGTAAATGGATCACATTAATATAATGTTAGGTACATTTATTTCAACAGGAAAATAAAGTTAGGCTTCACAATGTCTTTAAATATATAATATTACATACACATATTTATATGCATAGATGTAGGTATATATTTATGTATATATGTATTTATACGATTAAATATAATGTAATTAATTTAATTTTGTCTAGTTTGTTTAAAAATTGTCACAATATTGTACACCGCTCTACCCACTGACTTCCATTTTGGGTTTGCTTGAAGAAAACTCTTATTAGAGTTAAGCTCGCCTTTGTATATTTGATTGCCTCTGTCATATTTTTATAACACAGGTGAGTACAATAAAAAATTAAATAAAAAATTAAAAAATGTATTGCTATGTAACCTATATTTATATAGCAAAGAAAAGTGTAACCTAACACGGTATAATTTTGTTTTCGTAAATTCTTGTTTATCATGTCACATCAACCGTCAACTATCCACTGCTTAACATAGGCCTTTAGTTACTACGGTTACTGCTAGTAGTTACTACGCTTGGCAGGCGGATTGGCAACCGCAGTTAAGCATTGGTGACGTTTTAAGAGGAACGCTTCTGCCCATTCTTTACCCACTAAGTTCCCTTAGTGTCTTACGACAACTACGGAAAAGGAGGTGGCCTATTCTATGCCGGGAATACACAACGAATTCTTGTTATTAGATACAAAATAATAATCTTAAACTAAAATTTTGTATGCAATTTAGAATGGCAAACGAACAGACGACTTACCTGATGGAAAGTGGTAATCGTTGCCTATTGACATAAACAGTACAATGAATATAACAGAATACTGTGCCGTCTTTCATGCTTAAAATTTCTGAGGACTAAGGTGTTATGCCTCTGTACCCTGTAATTTTAAAGCCATATATAAATTTTTAAAACCGAAACACAGCCATGCAAAAACTACTGCTTCACGACTAAAACATGAATGGAACAGAGGTACCCAAGCAGATGACTTTTGTGCTTGTAAAACACGATAGAGAAATAAGAATTTTCCTATACATGTCGATTTTTTATACAAGTCTAGTAAATTTATTCTATTACATCTGAGGTCTAAGGATCAACTCAAATTTTAACAAGAATGAGAAATGAGATTTTTCTATATATGTCGAGTTTTAACAAAGTTGATAAATACTCCTAATTTATTTGTAAACGAAATACTTAAGAATGAATCTAAACAAAAATTACACATAGATACATAAAAATTCATAATTAAATAATAGCATGTTTTTTTTTAAACGTTAATTAATATAAGTATATATAATAGTTGAAATTATGTTTACAAGTCAAGTCCATGCTTATTTCGTAAAATACAAATTAGACTAGTTTCAATAAAGTAGCTTGTGCAAGTTTAAAAGACAAATTCAAACGAACTTACTTTCTTTTTTTGGCATAAACAGCATACTTTGGCTGTATAATTCCAGTGCTTTGCCCCAGTCACCTTTCTGGACTGCGTTGTTGCCTTCATCCTTGAGCTGTTTGGCTTTTTCCAAGTCTTTTTTTACTGGGAATTCGCCGCCGGCTTGACATTTCTCAATATCAACTGTTAAATCGTAGCTTTTAACAACAGGGAGACTGCACAAATAAGATACACGTTTCGCATTGCATTCTAAATTGGCGAAATTCTTTTTCGTCACGTCATCAATCCCTTGGTTTATGGTGTCGTGGAATTTTTTGAAGAAACCTTTATTTTCTTGTGACATTATAAATGTGAATATCAACTAAATGATATTTTATCGGTATGCTTGATCGAACACTGTTACTTTACATTAGAGATTAAGTATAACTACTAAATAAGAAAGCCGGGCGCACGCTGTTAATAAGTGTTTGGAATTTCTATTTTTATATATGGAACGTGCGTTCTGTGCATCACTTCAGTACGAATTCGACTTTCAAATATTTCAGAGAATAAAGTTGCAGAATGAAAAAGTATAGTTTGGCGGCTGCATATTACATACTCCTAAGTTAAACATTTATTAAAAATACAAGTTTAAAATAAATAAAGTGTATTTTTTTTTATTTACATGCTTAAATTAGCAATAATATTAGGTACAAATTACAAGAAATGTAATGTTCAAGATACGTCGAGAAGCGTCTAGGTTATGGTTGTAAACAAGAATTCTGCCAAATATCCAAGGACGGACATCACCGTCCAGAGTTGAGACAAAAACACATCGCTGTTTTCTTTTTATTTCGCTTGGTAATAAGTTTAAAATAGGGTGACAATTATGTATTTAGTTACTGAGAAATTTTCAGCTATTTTCGTACTGATGTCTCCAAATCTTGTAATATCTTCGCCGATATGAGATAGAGATACTATAGAATTTGATGATTCTTTCTGCAGTTCATAAAGTTTACTCCTGTATTAGATCCATATCCATTTTGTCAGGGTTTTTAATATTTTTAATATATAAAAGTTATGTCATGATAATTGTTCACGCTATCCCTGAAATCGTTTAACCGATTTTAATGATAATTTTATAAATCTTTATTTTTGTTATTTGGAAGATAGGATATCTAATTTTTATTACTAGGTATAATGAATCCGAAAGGTAGAGTTAAAAATCAAAACAATGTTTGCCATATCAGTTGGTATTTTATAAATCCCTAAATAATCGTTCATCATGCTACCTCCAGAAATGACGTCATGAATTCACGGACGACTGCATTCAACCTTGATGAATTCACAAATTCACAGTAGCATTTGGGTATTAGCTAGTTGGAGTCAATGTCAGAATATTTTAATAAAATTATAAAAATAAGCTTTAAAGTTTGCATTCTAAATTTAACACTATTCATACTTTTTGTGACCTTTATTTCATAAATTGTAAGATCGGATTTCCCATAAGTATACCTACTAGTTAAAGGGCATAGCTGTGCAATTTTAACATCGATATAAATAAATCCCCAGATGCACAGTCGGAGTCTAAAAACGTCGCGGAAAATAAAATACATTTAATTAAATTGTACGCTAAATTATTTTTCACCATCCAGTGATTTTTGTAGTACGGGTGGGTAACATATAGCTTGAGGGGGAATGGGATTGTTAGTAATGGAGACTGAGAATCCCATTGCTAGCAATATACCCAACCAGGTCGACCTCCTCGCGGTTCCCCTTGGAAACTATCATGGTTAATTCCTGATGAATTTCATCATGATGGGCTAACTGGTCTGTTTTCATTTTCATCGATCACCCTTCACTGATGCTCCACCAGCATATACCGGTAACGCAGATGGAGCTGCCATTCCATTTTCATCTATCAAAAAGCATATAGCTTGATATACTTATAGCAATTATTAATTAGAAGGATGCTATTGATTTTAATTTCATTCTCTTTTCAACAGACTTCAAAAAGAAAGAGATTCTCTATTAGTTTGTATTTTTTATGTTCATTAGCTCATAACTTCGTCAGATCTAAACCGATTTGGATTTTTTTTTAACCTGGAAGGATATATTTACAGATTAGTTCCATAGAAATTTTATCAAAATCTGTCCAGTAGTTTAGAAATCAAAATAACTTTAACGTTTCTTTTTTGTTGAATACTATCTTAATTGTTATTTTTTAAAATACAGGGGCAAACATGTATATTACAGGTATACCCATAAACATTGAATAACCGTGACACTGAAAGAAATGCATGTGTGCTGCTATAATAACGAGTTCCTACTAGATATGGTAATATGGATACCGATTCGATATCTATATATTAAATACAATGTTGATTCCTCTGAATATCTGTTTTAGACAACAAATTTGGCTAGACAAATAACCCAAACTACAAATTATCGACTAATTTACTAATTTGATTAATGATTACCCACCCGAGATGTATCAGAAATTTTTTTTCCCACGAACACTCAAGTTATGGAATAGGGAGCTCATTCCATAATTTGAGTGTTCGTGGGAGAAAATATCTCTGAAAAAGTTTTCTTGGTATGCTTGTATGCCACCTTAGTTATTCCTAGTTCCTACCTTAGGTACTTTTTGCGGGTACCGTGTACACAATAGAATATTTTTTGTAACACGATAATATATATATATTTATACAACTTAGAATAGCAAACAAGCTGACGGCCCACCTTATGGAAAGTAGTAACCGTCGCCTATAGACATGAGCAATACCATGGACATAACAGACTTTACTGTTTTGCCCATGATACCCCCCATGCGTTGCCATTCCTGAGGACTCAGGTGTTATTCCTACGTACTCAGTAAATTCACGCCATATTCCACCTTTCAAACCGAAACACAGCCATGTAAACACAACTGCTTTACGGTTAAAACACGAATGGGACAGAGGTACCCAAGCAATCGACTTTTGTACAAAGTCTCCCTCTGGTGAATTAATATAGTATATATATATATATATATATATATATATATATATATATATATATATATATATATATATATATATATATATATATATATATATATATATATATATATATATATATATATATAATATAGAATATTGTAAAACGAGTAATATGTGCACGCTGTTAAGGCAACCGATTGGGCTAAATTCACCATATAATACAGGTCATAGACCGATCTCGGAAGTAGAAAGTAGAAATAAAGTAACTAGAACTGTACTATTATAAATACGCATATTATTTATAGCGTAAATCTTGCCTTAGCATTTAACTACTGAATACTGTCTCCCTTTATAAGAGGCCTATACATATATAGTTTACTATTTCCGCGCTGGCAAGACCCGTCAGTATAGTATATTTTATTTTGACTTTTTTCTCTTGTTCTGGTGCTCTTTTTAGTTTCTGTTGTTGCCTCTTACGATATCCTGGTGAAGAAAAGAAACGGTGATATTATGTTCTTTTTCGATCACTACACATTGTATATCCTTATCTGTTAATATTACACTAGCTTATATTGATATTAACTAGCTTACTGTCTGCTATTTTGCACGCGTAGTTTTAGAACTAAGAAAAACAATTGACTCTTTCTAAATACCATTTCAAGACAAAACGCACACAATATTTCAAGTTACATCTTTAGAAACACAACTGTGAAAAATGCACTCAATTTGGTGTAGTAGTTTTTACATGGTAACAGAGAAAACAAACAGATAGATAAAGAAATAATTTCTAAAAAATATTGTTTTGGCCTTTTTTGGTCTCATTAAAACGATCGTATTATTTTCTATTAAATATCTCCCATCGTTTAGTTATAATTTTGTTACATTGATAAGATGCGAATGTAAGTTTACTACCTTTTGCTGCCTTAGTGGGTTGACCAATAATTATTAAATTTAGTATAGCACTAATTGGGTAGTCAGATGTATATACCGACTGTTGCCACTGTGATGAAACTGCCGGCATACCCACATTACACGTAGTATTTGGAATGAAGAAGAACACAAGTGATTTTTGATCCAGCAAGCTATATTTTGGATTACAATTACTTGATCACATTTTATCGAATATTGTATGCATTTAAAACAATTTGCTCGCTTCATTATACACATGATACATCCAAAACTTTCCGGTGTGATGCTGATTTATTATATCCATGACGTCAAGTCAAGGGCCTCGACAGATTCTGCGAACTGATGGCTGAGATACCAATTTAGCCGGCATAATGGTTTTACCGCTACAGACACGCTGCCATGAAACTTATTGCGATCAGTCATGTCATACATACATACATATCTATCTATCTATCAGTCATGCATATCGTTTAAATGATTCTGTGTTTATTTACAATATACTAGTGAAAACTAGTAACCGCGACTATATATTCAGAAGGATTTAAATAGTAGAGATCGCAATGAACAAATTAACTTGCTGGTAGAACAGAAAGATCTGAAATGTCACCACGATAACACTTACTTTACTTAGATTTTCTCGATTTTTTGTATAAAGTCGAGTCATGAACAATAAGAGCAATGGAGCGGAAAAAGATTGATGCTCTCGAGATGTGGTGCTGGTGAAGGATGCTGCGAATTCCCTGGATAGCAAAGCGCACAAACATATCTATCCTGGCGCAATTCCGTATAAAAGATAGGCTCTCGACAGTCTGCTATCGAAGGATTCTAGGATAATTCGGTCATATTGCTCGTCGAAAGTCCGACAATCTGGACAAGCTAATAGTTGTAGGCAAGATAGAGGGAAAAAGACCACGCGGACGATCTAGTCGATGATCGGACCAAGTAACCGCAGTTACGGGACTGTCAATTGCAGCTGCCTTAAGAGGCTGAAAACCGTGCGAAAATGGAATAACATCATAAAAGAGGCAACAGACACCTTTCAAGGACACGCCCTTCAGTAATGAAGTGGACGAAGAGAGAAATATAATGTCTCGTCTTGGAAGTCATGTAACTACTACATATTTTACTACAAAACTTGTTTCCTGTATAAATGTTATACCTACGCATATTCTAGATATACTAGTCATACTTATTGTTCTAGAAATATGTAACATCAGGATTATAAAAATGTAATATAATATTTCTTAGAAGAAATGAAAGATACACAGGTTCTTAAGTCTAAATTAAAAGCTCTAGTAGCAAAACAATAAAATTCATAATCACTCAGCAAATACAAATAACATGAAGTCATAGTATTTAATCTGTGCATTTTTCCATTCTTTGACGTCTGTTCTCTGGAAGTACAAAGATTCCAACGAAAGATAAGATGCATCTTATGAAGTAGAGTTATGATTCAATTTTCTTAAATACCCCTATAACATTGTACTGCGCATTTAAGTTACCATTATTATGTTTAATAACTCACAACTATTATGTCTTGATTAATTCTGGTATGTATGTATTTATAATAAAGTAGATCTAGATTAAATAAAAATAAGACTTGTGACTAACGTTGATGGCAGACATTTAGTCCATATCCATTTATATCGTATATGTGTGTGTGTGTGTGTGTGTGTGTGTGTGTGTGTGTGTGTGTGTCTGTGTAAGTGTGTGTAATATGTTTTTCTCTTCCATTCTTCTCTATTTGTAGTTATTTCCGC